TTTCCGCTCTAGGATTGGCTGAGAACAGAGAAATGCAAAGTGTGAGGCAGGATAAGTTTACAAATATGCCAAATTTCAACTTCATCAATTATGCAGTAACATGCAAAGGAGAAGATATTTTAGAGGATGGTAAAAGTGCCAAGGCCAAAGTTGGGGTTACAGGGGGTCACTGGGTCATGTATCCAGTATTAGGTCGTGTTACAATAAAGTGACCAATCTTTGATGTGCTGTAGGTCCCTTAATTTACCTTTGATCCACCACGTAAAGCATTATGTTGCAATATGTCACATAAATGTTTAAGATTGCAGTCACTATGATTTTTTCACAATTTATTCAATATTTGAACATCTTTTTAGGCCTACCTGTACTATCAACAAATTAACTTACTTCATACTTAATACTAACAATTAGAGTTACCTGCTTTTCAGTGGGAACCTCTCCGGCCTTACCTGTCCTTTGTTGTTAAATGCAATCAGCAATATCCAGCTATATGCAACGGTCTTTAAATTATCGAGTCTGGGCCAGACAATACAGTGATTGACATCATGAACATCTATTTAAGCAATTGGGAGCGAGTCTGACCACCCAATCACGTTAGGCATCTCTTACAACAAGCATAGTCGCCTCTTGCGGCAAGCATGGGTTGCTGAAGACCTATTCTACCCCGGATCATCAAGAGTACAGAGGGCACCGGTGGCCCTGTCGTCTAAGGCGATATGATTCGCTGTGCAGAATTTGTGTCCCTTGGGCACGCCAGAAACCTGATTGTGGGTTCGAATCCTGGTTCGCCCCGATTATGTTTCTAGGTTTGTCAGCACCATATCCGTGCTCGTGCTCGTGGGTTTCACCAAAGTGGTAAACGTCTGAGACCTGCATCACTTCGGGCTTTCCTCCCACATTAAGCTTACATGCCAGGGTATAACTGGAATGCTGTTAAAAGCGGCGCTAAACCCAACTCACTCACTCACTCACTCACTCGTACAGCTTATGTCTGGCAACCACATATGGTAGCCCAGCAGTGGTAGTTGTTATTTGGGCTGGCAGCAGTAGTTGCCACATATGCTTTGCAATGGTTGTTGCCATTTTGGTCAGGAAACATTGTTGCCACATATGCTACCAGGCCAGCAGCTGTTCAGTAAATACTCAAAAGTACAATACCAATGTGGCATCTCGTGAGATAATTTCTGCATTATTACTTAAAACTCAATTCTAATGATGTAAACAAAATATGATGTCATCATAAGAAAATACATGCCAAAGTTCAGCTCTCTCAGTCTGCCAATTTTAAAGAAAAAGAAGTTTACAGAGCCAAAATATGAATTTTAAGAGAATTTAACAGCATGATCAAAACAAGGTCATGATATTATAAACAAAGAGCCCCAGAACTGATCCCACAAATGGCTAAAAGAGAGACCAAATTTGTAAAAAAATTGCAGAGAAATAACCAAAAATAGTATTTTCAATATGGCTGTCACGAAAAACAAAACACGATATATACCTTCAGATGAGCTAAAAAGTCAAAGTAATAATATGGTCTGCACATATTCATAAAGTTACAACTGTTTGTGATAGATTTCGATGTGATTTAAAAAATTCTATTAAAAACTTAAATTTTTTCCTGTTTTGTTAAACAAATAAATTGAGATTTTCTTTTCATTTTCCTGGAATGAAGCTGAATTCCATTGTATTTTCACAAATCATATTAATGTTTCATATTCTTTAACCTTGTAGTTTGAATGAAGACATTAGAGATTTTTCAGAAGGTCTTATTATGTTTATTCTAATATATGCCATGAATAATTTCATTTTAGAGTATGATGCAAGATCAGCCATAAGCATATTTGAACCTTTGGTCCTGATGAGCTAAATAAATAAGACAAACAAATATCACATCAGTTATATAAATTTATATATCATTCATTTGGTGTATCTGTTCTGGTGGCATGTCATCAACTTCTTTTTGACTCCTCCATAATCCACCAATACCAAACATATAGTAGTTGCAAATAACTTGTATTTACACTCAACATATTTGATTTCCAATATAACTTGCTCTGCCAGTAACATGTCTCCTGATAGTAACAAGGAAGCAACCATTGATATTTGTTATGACTCAATGCGAGGTTCGAAATTAAGCAGGAGAGTCAAGGGATCCTTGTAAGAATGCTAATGTTAAAAGTTAAAGATTTACATTCCCTAGATTCAAATTCCATCTTAATTTCGAACACTGTTGCACGCATGGAAACATACTCGTAACACATGGATTTATTACATTTCTTCTGCTGACTGACAGATATCATAGAAAAACATAAGATTCATTCTGGTCATTAACCCGCTGGATGCCAAGTTATTTTTCTGATGCACACTTTCATAATATCTGAAAGTGACCAATGTGCGAGAATAGTGCTCACACAGCACTGGATCTACCTCCGGCTATAAAATTATGCAAAGATGGTGGATATTAAATTTCCTACCTGATGGTGTAAATTTATGATACTGAAAATATTAAACTGGTATGAAAAACGGACACTGCTGTGTGTTGTCCGATATATTGTTATGCAAAAGAAAATCCTGCAAATTTTTCACACCATTTTGTTCGAGTTTTTTTTAAGCCTTTGATGATGTCAGAGAAAGACAACATTAGTATGTTGATGAATATATATCTCACCTAAATTTCAATCATAGAATGAAAAATCTAGATTTGTTATGACACAATGACTGTTTTTACCAAGTAAATGATGTCTTGAATAGAAAATGCACCTGTCTGGCACCAATGGTTATTCATTAACCTGTTTATATGAAAATAAATTAAAATCTAAACACTGCAAAGGAAATATGTACATGTTGCAGTTACATTTACATTTCATCTTCTAACACTTGTCTTAAGATAAGAAATATCACTTCTGACTTCTTATGTAGACTATGTGCAAAGAAATTGGAGATTATCAAAGGTTAAAAAATTGTGTTGCCTTAATCTATGTATGATATAATATCGACACAAATATCCATAGTGAAATTAATTGCGTGAAAAGATATGTAACAGATACGCAAAATTAATTTCATTTGGAATCTGTAAGTGTTCTTTTATTCATCCGGCCCCAAAGAAATTACCAAATATGTACAACAATGTTGACGTATGACATCACAATGGGTGACCAACTTTTACAAAGTGGCGTGTTCACCTGCACATCAGTGCTCAAGATTTTACGAAGGGACTTTCATTGATTCTGGGATCGTATATATACATAAAATGTGTCATGTAAGTTAAAGCAATCAAAACCATTCTGACATCCGGAGCATTATTTGTTTTTATGTTTTTCCTTGTAATCAAGAGAAATAGTCAGAAACTTTGTCGACTGAGCATCATTTTGTATCAGTCATGGCATCATGCAGGACAGAAACTCAGACAATTTCTGTTGATTCTAAGAAATAATTGTAATGTATCTATTTTCTTGCTACAAAACTCTTCCCATGCATATTCTAAAAATATTGAGCCAATGTATGCAATGAATAGATAAATGGATCTCTCAAAACAGGAGAAAATGCAACACAGTTAAAAATCTGAATTTTGTTTTGTTTACATTTCAGACAAGTTTGGTTTCAATTCTCTGAGTAAATATTTGATATAACTTTTATAAAAATGCACTAATGCTGTTAACAGTGATTTAGTAATGTGGAAAAATTGTCGAGATTTACAATGTACCCAATTTTCTGGGGTCATAATTTCATAATTTTTGTTTGCCTAAAATGACAGTTTCTAATGTCACAGAACAGAATCTGCTGCAGAATACCTAACAATGAAGTGTAATTGTGTGTACGTGGTGTATTTTGAGTTTTATTGGTGTTCAAAGTGAGGGCTGAAGGTGTGGGTGGAAGAAGAAGGACAAGTATGTCACTCTGGCATCCAGAGGGTTAAAGGCCTACAGCCGGCTAGTTTGACAGATCACAGTGCATAGTGTATTTTGGACATTTCATATCCTAGAAATGTACAATGTTCAGTGGTTGTAACTGTATTCATATATTATGTTGACAGACTTGTCAAATGCACGACATCAGAAATATCAGCAGCTCACAGTGGAAGAGTACATTCTTCTGAAATACAATATTCACCAAACTTTGATGGTCACACATTATAAATAAGGCTAAAAAATAAAAATCTTGGTTCTCAGGCACCACCTGCTTCATCACAAAGTCCGCCGCACGTTTCATTTTTATTTCCATTTTTAAAAATAAATAAAAATCCTTAAATATTCCAAATCCAACAGTAATCAAATACTGTATTCCACTATTTTACTCATCAAGGAACACATTTATGTAGGGAGGCCCTGTCCCAGGTTGACTGTACACAACTTTTTATTTGGTTGAACAACTTTTTATTTGGTTACATTCTTTAAACAACAACAAAAATGACACCGCCCACCCGCACTATATTTTAAAAAACCATTGCCTGAGAACCAATTCTTTTATTTTATTAAGCCTAATGTCACTGTGTTTAATATCATTGGGTAGGAGTGACTGACGTGATGAAAGGAATGCGACATATAATGTAAAGCACATATCAAAAAGTGTAAAGATAGGGCATCAAATACAACATTACAAACGTCATTCTCATACATGTAGTTCTGGAAACCTTTACTTAGCGATGGAATTAAATTCCATCACATTAGCATCAGCAAATGTATACTCACTGACAAAAGAAATGCAAATGCGATACATATTGTTTAATATATGAAGAAACACTCATATTCAAGAGATATTAGTTTGGTTCGATGCACAAATTAACATACTGTTATGTTGTGTGAACCAATGCTCATGAACGCTGCACATGTGACGTCATAGATCCATGACTCAAGATGCTCTGTCTGTCTCATGCAGGGGCGGTCGGGTAGCCTAGTGATTAAAGCGTTAGATCGTCACGCCAAAAACCCGGGTTCGATTCCCGACATGGGTACAATGTGTGAAACCCATTTCTGGTATCCCCCGCTGTGATATTGCTGGAATATTGCTAAAAGCGGCGTAAAACCATACTCACTCACTGTCTCATGCAGGATTAGCGTGTAAAGTCTGGAAAACGTCAGCACAACGTGATTAGAATAAAGACACTGTGGTAACACTTGACTGATTCTTAGTTTTGTCATTAAGTGGTACACATTGGAAACACATACTTAACGTACATATTTCCCTATATGTTTCGATGGTTCGCATTTCTTTTGGCATTGAGTATAGGATAGAAAGTATTTCGGTGACTTCATCTGGATTTTACTGTTTTAAATCCATCCAAACTGCATAATACCAGTACATGTAAGGATTTTTGGTATCTACTCCTGTCTGTGTGCAAGAATCACAGTGTTTTGTGAACCGTTTCTCTCTCGTTCAATCTCATCCATGTCAATAAGCCTTGACATGCGTTGTGTGCCCTCTGTTGGCAGCAGAAGACCCTGTACTTGTAATTCATCCACATAGTCTTTCATCAGATGCGCTATCTGTGATGCCTGAAAATATGCCAAAGTATAAATGTTACCATGGATTGTAATAAGAGTTATCAGTGACTACAAACTGATGACTGTAACAAGGCTTTCATATTTGACAACTTTACACGGACAATTTGTACACGTTGTTCATCTAAAAAAGGACTGTAGTTCACATGCTTATATATTCAAAGGCATATTAATAATGTCTGCAGTAGTCTCCATCAGTTATCTAACAAACTCAAACAGTCATCATTCTGTATAAGAAAAGATAACATTATAAGTTGTAGCAGGATCACTCTGGGCAGATGGGGTTTTATGCGTCCCTCGTTACGTTTTATACCACTCGCACACGGGTGAGGCCAAGCCTTCCACTATTGTTCTTGCAACTGTTTCTTTGCAGGACGTCCATCTGTTGACCAAATTATTTTCACAAAGTCTCAGGGTGGTAACCTTTGATGCGTAATCCACTAAACTGTTGTTGTTTTACCTGAGGGGCCATCTTGTAAGTTAGTTCACCAACTTTCAGTTTCATATAATGCAGTGAGCGATGAAATTTGATATTTCTAAATATGTTCAAAACTATTGAACATGTGTATATGTTTTATTTTATAATCAACAACCATAGGCTACCTAAATGTTCTACCTTTGTTTGCTATATTGATAAATGAAAGCTTTCATTTTGTATACTCATGGTGATGTAAAGCAAGGTTGCGTATTGTCGCCACCGTTATTCTCTGGTTTTATTTATTACCGGGTTGACAAAATTAATGACCTGAACAGTGGTGTCAAAATTGATGAATCTATGCCGAATATGATACACAAGTGTTGGGGTAGAAATAGTGAGATGGATGTAGGGATATGGTGTGTTGTGTACGCATGTCAGGTGTATGGATTCACAAAGAATGGCATAGAAATAGTGAAATATATGTGCCTGTATGCGGGTATATGTGTAGATACATGAGGGGACATGGAGACCTAGGGTCGAATGGGTGGGTGTGCTTGTATTTACTTTTCGTGTTTCTTTTTCATCTAAACATGTTTTGTGCTTCTTGAAGGTTGTTTCGGCTGGGCACTGTACATATCCACCCCGAAATATCTAGTATTTTATGTGCTGTACAATGCTTGATTCTTAAACAAAAATCCTCATCTTTTTCTTTATCTTAAATAAAACAACTAATTTGGTGAACACTTAATTATTAGCTCTTTGCTTTGGTGATGAACCCCCTCTTAATCCAGGTTAAGCAAGACACCTGCTAGACGGATTTCGACAAAAATTCGCACAACATCGCATTAGGGGATTCGTAAGTATTCAGTTGGTCACCGTCCTACAAATAAGCCGTTTCTTTTTCATCCTTGTAAATTACTCTCACAAGTCCTCTACCTGTCTTAGAGCACAGCCAAATACTCACATTTCATGAAAAGCATATGGACAGCCCAGGCATTAATCTTAAAGTATATGCACATGATGCTCAAACAAATAATTTGGTTGGAAGTTGGAGAACATGATTAGGATAATTGTACTATACATGACAAATTCCCATCTGATCGGAGCCTTTAGCTGTGCTCGAACTACTGGCTGAGTACTTACGAGGGATGAAAACAAAGGTTCAGCAGTTTTGATAAATAAAGGGAAGTAATTTGGGAGAACATTTTAGACGTAATGGCTATTTTCTTCAAGCCAAAATAGCCTTCTTTCAATGTTCAAATGGAAAACTCACCTGGTTTGTATTAAACATGAACTTTGTTCCCTTGGCAACATGACCAATGACTATCATGATGCTTTTGATGGCAGGACTCGAGTGAACGATCTCTGAGTAACTGTAGGCAGCGAGCACTCTCTACAAAATAATCAACAACTTCAGTGGACAGGCTGCTATATTAGTACACTTTATTCTTGATGTAATTTTATGAAGGTGGATATCAACTTTCCTTTGTCCAATATCAAAATACAATCACTTACAAGTAACCAAACATAATTATGTTCCATTTGAGAGTTTTCAAGCTACACATGGCTATTACAAAAAGTTGATACATAATATTGTTAATATGGATATTGAAGGCTATTGGAAAGTTGATTTCACGAGAAATATGAACACCATGACTGCTGAAATAGACAGCACATATATACTAGACTTAGTCAACAGGTTAACACTACATACAAACTAGGGGTGAATACATACAGCAAGGTCATGATACAATACCTATCACGATACACAGGCCACGATACAATATGTATCACGATACACATATTTACGTCAAATCGCCTGGAAACTTCTTGACAAAAAATATTTCAGGGCAGGTTCAAAAGGAAAAGCTAGCTGTAGACACATGTTCGTTGTGGCTATATTTGTAGTGAACTTGAAACATTAATTACAACACATTTTGCGATATCTCACTGACAAAAACGCCAGGGGTCAAACAAATAGTAAGTAATTTCTTTCAGCAAGTGTATCATCTTGTAACGATATTGAAAAAAGGTATCGTGTATTTTTGGCACAGGCTGTTTTTACAATTTGGTTGCATGTTTGAAATTGGAAGAACAAAGTGTGCAGGTCAAAAGTACAAAAGGGTAAACACAAATCTTCAAATAATCTGCTATACCAAAAGATAAATTTGGGAGTTTGAGGAAAGATCACCTAAGAAAAATACATCCTATGAGATAATTTCCTCGCAGACAGACTAAACCTTTTTAGGTTCATTGATATTAGTAGCTTCATGGTTTTATATGGTTAACTGCAGACTATTCAAGAAAAGTCTCTTTGTAAATTAATCATATTTTGATTGTCATCTTGTCCACATTTTTAATTTATCTAATCCTCTCTTGTTGGCATAACCCATGAAAACGTTACTTACAAAGGTCTTGCTCTCCAGAAGATGTATTCCACCTTGGTCAACAGCCAACAGAAGAGTTTTGGGAAGGACAGATGTATATGTTTGCTGAAACAAAATTCCACTTTCTGTTTATTCTGGATACAGATAAAGTTCATGTGAGAAATGGATTCTACATTACGTAATGTATTATTGTTGACATGTCAACAGAAAACATCTTGTCAGTTAATTCATAAATAAATCAAGAGTAATCTGATGATGACAAAAAAATACTTTGAAACTATTTACCCCAACTTCGAAGACTGTTGCACCAAATAGTTGCCAGGCCATGAGGACCTGAATGAAGGACAAGACGGCACTCTGGGGACTCATATCCAGCACAGTTTTGTGAGTCGTGGAGATATCTTCAAGTCTTATCATCATCCTCAAATCCCTTGGTAGTATTCTCACCACAGAGCTGGAAATAAATAAAAAACACCATAAATCATATAATGAGTCAGTGAGTTGGGTTTAATGCCACTTTTAACATTATTCCAGTTATATCGCGGCGTGTCAGCTTAATGTGGAGCAAAGCCCAAAGTGATGCAGGTCTCAGACGTTTACCACTTGGGTGAAACCCACGAGCACAGGTATGGTGCTGACAAGCCTAGAAACATAATTGGGGCGAACTGGGATTCGAACCCACAATCAAAAAAAGGTTTCTGGCGTGCCAAAGGAATGCAACTCTGCACAGCAAATCGTGGCGTCTTAGAAGACTGGGCCACCCATGCCCCATAAGTCATTTAGACAGGTCCATGAAATCAAATGAATTATCATCACAACCAGGACTTCTACTGAGGTTCCAATATCCCCTAAACTCTCCTGGATATGTAGTCATCAGTTAAATATGTCAACAAAGTATGTTGCTATCAGCATTGCTAATCAGATATTTTCGGCATAGCTACTGACAACAAACGTATAAACATAAATATGCAGAGACGTTTGCCCCATGATACAAACAAAGATTTACAAGAGTATGATATATTCCCGCCCAAGCCCCCCCCCACCCCACAATCTTGTGCAATTTGGAAAAGGAGTTTGGCTACTCATACACCACTTTTGACACACACCAGACAATACACATGATGACCCATGGACAACTGGACAAACAGGCCAGGACAGAAAAATTACACAAGAATTTCAGTCAGGTGAGCTAAATAATTATAGAATATTTTAACTGATCATGACTGATGTGGCTTGATGAGCATACAATATTCAGCACTTGCCTAATGTGTAAACAAAGTTTCTCAAAGAAATGTGAAGTGTGCTCTTGAAGGAAACTTTACTTTAATACAACATTTATCAGACTTGTTGCCTTAGAAGTGCATCAATTTTCTTAATTTCCTGAATAACAAAAGGTACCAGTTCGGCACATGTACGACATGTTTCTAAAGTATCACAAAGAAATATTTACTGGTTTGTGAGTTATGCTCAGGAAACAAACATTACGGATGGACGTAGAGCCCATTTCTATACCCACTTCCAAATAATGTTTTGGCAAGGGACAACCACCTTAAATTCTGCTTGACTACACTGGCCATACCTGTAATCAATCTCTCCACTCATGTCCTCGATCTCCGACTGAACTTTTAAAGCACACAGGTGAACCTGAAATAATAGTTTTATGAACATTAATTAAGTATCTACCTCTAAATGAAAATAGACCGTTTTCAAGATATGCTCCAGAAACGGAATACCCTTTACCATAGTTCCTCAAAGCTTCTAAAGTTTTTACATTATTTCCAAACCTTGACCTAAATAAAGACAACTTCTTAAGATCCAACAATTGTCAAATCTCAGGCTTGTACAAGTAAAAATAGTTACTAATGACACAAGCATATTCCACAATAACCTCTAAGATGACCCTGACCTTTGATAGCTAGCCTCAATGCAGTAGGATTTGTAACCCTACATGCAAATATAAAGATTCGGTAGCAGTAACCATGCCTCACAAACTGACAATGACACGACCATGTTTTACATGTCTTATCTTGACCAAAAACTTTTCAAAGCAGGGCGACCATGCTAGAACAGTCACATATCACATGATGCATGAAATGATACATGTAAAAATCCTTTTAGAGAAAGCGTAACCACAAACATTTTGGGGAGAATGTTCTTGTGATCTAGACTTGACCTTCTCAGTGCACATGCTAAAAGAACTCCCCAGGTCCACATGGAGTAGATCCATTGAAGGATATCCTCTATGTCAAAATTCTTTGTGCCACATTCAAGAAAAAAATGATACATCTACTTTTGACAATTTCCTTGACATACATGCACTTGACATTTGATGTGGTAGGGTTTGATGAGAAACATGCAAATCCAAACGTTCAATGCCTGTAGAGGTAGGTTCACAAAAACCTGGACTGTGACCTTGACCTTTGATTAACCTCTATTAAAACTCTTTCAAAGATTGGCCTCAACCCAAAAAAGTAATTTCTAGATGTTGATTGATGTTTCATGTTTACGACTTGATTTGATATTCAATTTTGTGGTTTGATCATACAAACCACACAAATGCTAGCAGGGTCATTGTTTCAGAATTTTGTTTACCTTTATCCCCCTAGTTTTCAAAAAGGCATTCTGTTGCATGTCCCTGTATAAAGAGCATCAACCAAATATGGACAACAGGTGCCTTGTATAAAAGCAAGTGTACCACTAACAGAAAATATTCTTCATGGAATTGATTTGGCAACAGAGAATGAATGTTAACTGAAGCCTGCCAAGTTGCATACAATGCATGTCAGCACAAGACAGCCACAAAGTTAATGCAGTTAATCTTTATATTATGTCATCATTAACTGGTATTATGATTGATTTGGTCCTTCGTTGCCAAAATCCTACCTGATAGATGCAAACGTCTGACTTATACTAAAGAATTAATGTGCCTAACATCTTCTGACAATTTTTCACATATATGGAAAAGAACTGGATGGAATCACTAATGGTTCATAAGCCCATTATGGGATACTTTAAGAGTAAATAGTCATGATTATAGACAAACAAGTATCACTGGAAAACTTACAGCATCTTGAGTGGAAAGAGGTTTTCGTTTTTCAAACACATCTTCGAGCAGCTGGTGAAACACAAGATCGCACTCCACAGGGTCCCCAGAGTTAATGTAAGGCTTGATAAACAACCGTTTCTGTAAGCATAGATTGATTGGATTAATGTACACATGTATACATGTACAATAGTTAAATCAGCAACATCAGTGCCACAACACTGTAGCTCAGCTGTACATGTAGACAACAGAAAAGTTGATGTCAGCATTGAGAATTGCAATGTTTGTGGTGTACTTACACAGCCAACAAAGAAACGTAAGGCCAAAAGTGTAAGCAAACTATAATAAGCTAAATGCTGGACGATACAAAACTTTAACTATGTTATATGGTACTGTATTTTATTGTTCAACAGTGATTGTAATTGTGTTACGTTGTTTATTTTGGGTTTCAGTAGACGCTCATTGTAGTTTGTTTGGACAGTGATTAGTTGTCAGGAAGTTACTATATTTAGATTCTAGTCTGATGTACAACTTCCAGTTTGGTATACCGCGGACAGTGATAGTATGTTCTAGTACCAATGGACTGATGAGGGCACTGTCTGTGGCTGGGAAGGTTGTGTATAAGGAGAAATATAGAAAAAATGTTTTCACTTGCTTCATTTATGCATGCCATCAGTTATATTGTCACAGGTGGAATGTTTTCAATACATGTAACTACCGGCTCCCTGGTTGGTTTGTGTGTCAGTAGGACACTAGGTGCTGATGTTCCTCTGGAGATGAAGCTTCTTATCAAGCCACAGATCCTTGACAAGTTCAAAAAGCTCATCCAAATAGGTGTTTGTTACAGAGAGATTGAACTTGGAGTGTAACGATGTATCAACTACCAATATAATGCAATCGTTAGCCCTGCGATTGTACTATACATCAATAGGAATAAGGGTGAAGTAGCTCCCAATAAAACTGGCTGTTCTCTTTCCATCCTTACTTTGAAAATAAGCTTCAGGTCCTTGACAGCTCCACTTCGTGACAGTCTTTCCCACTTGCTCAGTGTGTCAGACAGTCTTTCATCCACTGCCATGCATCTCTCTGAAAAAATACACACATTATTAATTGGTCTTTTAAATTTTCTTAATATCTCCTTATGCAAAATGCAGAGTGAGAGGTGTTTAATAGGCTTTGCCTGTTCACAATCCCATTCCTTCTTTTTGGAAATATATATTGTTTATATCAAAATGCAGAGTCATTGTGTTCCAATTTGAAAGTGCAATATGTTCCAAAATTTCAAAAAGAATCCAGGTAACTATTGGCCAGTTAGTCTCACATACAGCACAACCGCCATGTTCACTATGTTTCACTATGTTTCACTATGTTTCACTAAAGTCGAAAGGAGTGATTTTTCCATCACTAAATTTCATCAATGACTGCTTGGTTGCAGATTCCAAGCCAGGATTTGACCATTAGTTTATTTTAAGTTTTGGAGGGTTGATGAAATTGAGCTAAAGTGTATTAAGCATAAAAAGTAACAGAGAAGGTTTCAGGACTGTGGCTCTGTTGCCAGGAGATGTGTTTGTGTGATGTTACAAATGACATGTTTAATGGGTTTTTTTGTTTTTGCTTTGTTTGTTGTTTAACGCTGCATTCAGCCATATTCCAGCTATATGATGGTGCTAGAGTTTAATGAAATATATGAATCAAAATATAGCTGAAATAGCAGGTATATAATATAAAGTCTTTATCATTTGCACAGAAAGTTCAATCAGTTTCATTTTATAAAGTCAAAATACAAGGCATTTTATTTATGAAGCCCTCTGTCATTTTGATATCAGTCTTAGTAGCTGAATCTCATTATAAGTACAAATATTACTGGCCGCTGAGCCAAACACACACCTACCTGAACCACTCATTACTTCATACATAGCAAACCCTTCAGCATCTGATCGCATTCCAATTTTCACCTTTATCATTTTGGTGAGCTGAAACAAATTTGTTGAAATTGATTAACACTGACAAGAAAAGGAGTCACTGTGACAGGCGATATCATGGAGACTTGTTATTCATTTTAATACACATATTAATGGACTTTCGAAGTCAACAGAGTCTAAGCTGTGTGAGGTCCAGCTGAAAAAGAAATTGTTCCAACCAGTTGTGTGGCTAATCTCATCACACAGTGCCTAGACCACGAAAGTGATGACGTCACAGAACCTCATATTACTGTGAGTGAGTGAGTGAGTGAGTGAGTTTGATTTTACGCCGCTTTTAGCAATATTCCAGCAATATCACGGCGGGGGACACCAGAAATGGGCTTCACACATTGTACCCATATCGGGAATCGAACCCGGGTCTTCGGCGTGACGAGCCAACGCTTTAACCACTAGGCTACCCGACCGCCCCGAATGAAGAAGGAAGTAATGAGGGCTTCATTTATTGTAGGCAGAAGGGAGCATGTCCAGATGGGAAATAAGAAGGCTTTTTGCGTCGGGATGAAAGAATGATAACTGGCTAAGTTGCAAATATTCTAAATATTAGATTAAACAAACTGCTTTCAATCCAGTGAGCTCACCTTATAATAGAAATTAAAAAAAATTATTCACCTCAGCCTGTTATCACATGGCATTATCACACAGTTGATGCAATAAAGGTTTTGTATATCCAAAATTATGGGCTGATGTGGTGGCCATATTGATTTTTTTATAATGAAAAGCATGCTCTTGTAGACAGGGACATGAAGAACAAGATGAGATTTGATATGTTCAGTAGTCTAGAAGAACAGGGCTCGATATTAGGAACTTGATTTAACTTGCACCAGGTGCATGTTGGTATGAAAAGCTCATTGCACCAGACAAAACCAGGTTGCACCCTGCTCTCATAAAGTTATCAATTTGAAATATATATACATAAGCTAGTCTAAAACAGTAAAATCTCTGATGAATGTGTCATGTGTCATGAATTGCACATACTACAGCAATTAGTTATGTAACAGTATGGTAAATAATGCTTAGATATACCGAGTGTGTCCAAAGGTAATAAAAAGATTTGAATTTTCTTTTGACATGCACTTGATGCATGTAGACATTATTAAGGCTGCATTGTTCAATTATAGGTTGCACTGGTGCATGTTTCATATAGTCAAATCAAGCCCTGAAGAAGATAGGTTTCTGTGTGCAGTGCCAACAAATAATGCCAAAAGCACACTTTGAAGACATGAAGGGGAGATAAAAATGAACACAATAGTGCTTTGAATTCAGTTGCTTTAATGAAATTTCTTGCACAACAAATTACTTCATGACTATTTTCTCACATTGTTCAGGGAGGTAAAATTTCAGAACTATACCTGTGAGTTAAACATACCTCTCCACATACTGCTGCAGAATCAAACTCGATGATACGATGTTCACCATTCAGGAAGTACATATGCTCGGTCACAGGCCGTCTATAAAACACCCAAAAAGCATATAAATATCATTTACATGATCCAGGTTTGTTGTATGATAAATGCTTGTCATAGGCAGAATAGTCCAGGTTTGTTGTATGAGAAATGCTTGTCATAGGCAGAATAGTCGAAATGATTTGTTATGTGAATCTCTCTCACACACACACACACACACACACACACACACACACACACACACACACACACACACACACACACACACACAAAAACACACACACACACACACACACACACACACACACACACATATATTGTTTACATCCTGCAGAACAGACCCATGAAGATCCAGGGTAGAATAGGTCTTCAGCAACCCATTCTTGCTGTAAAAGGCGACTAATCTTGTCGTAAGAGGCGACTAACAGGATCGGGAGGTCATGCTTTCTGACTTGGTTGATGCATGGCATCATATCCCAATTGTGTAAATCATTGCTAATGATATCAACCACTTGATCGTCTGGTCCAGACTCGATTATTTCAGACCGATGTCATATAGCTGGAATATTGCTGAGTGCTGCATTAAAAAATAACCAAACAAATCCTACAGAACATCTTCCTCACCTCTGAACTGTGCAGTGAATTTCTTGTTTAGATGGTGGGAATGTTCTTCTTTTTGCATCCGAGGTTCTTGAAAGAGTCTGAAAAAAGTGAAAGTCGTCTATTGCTTATGCCTAAAAAAGCAGCCGCAATCTCAAACATGTCCTCAGTGCACAACACTTGCCACCAGAAAAAAGTATCTTGAACTATTTGGATCAAATACTACTGAACTATACATCAATTGGGGGGGGGGGGGCACATATGATGGACAGTATTGTACAGTATTTATGTAGCAATGAAATGATTTACCCTCCCTTTTTGGAGAAAAAAAATCAAAATGGAAACATACCTTAAAGCAGAATCTTGCAAATTTGCCTTCTTCTGTTGTGGTGTCAAGAGAACACTTCTTCAGATGCACCTGCAAGTATTTCAGCACTCTTGTATTAGCTGGAGCCATCACCCCAGCTGCCACACACATTAGTTGCCAGCATCTACGATTAACTTGACTGTTAGGATCTGAAAGACATTGAAATAGAGACAATTCAACCATTTACCATGGATACATAGTAACCATTCCTATATGTAAAAAGCCCAGAAAAATCAGACAACACGATAGATAACAAACTTGATAACGATACATGTACAGTCATAATAGAAAGTGTTCATTGTACATCTGGACTGTTAATGCCGATTTTATAGTGCTAGCCCACTGGGATACAACGCTGCAGTTTAACATGAATACCCCACTCAGATACAGCCGACACACTGAGCCAACCTGTCGTTGCTTTAATGCCGGGCACGAGACGGGGCTACGACAAGTACAGTCTTTCAACATCTTTTGGTATGATGCGGCACCGGTTTACCCTAATGCAGAAATCCTGCATATTTGATGCAATCTAAATGGAAAATATGCAATATAATTTCTCCACTGCATCAGTCATGACACAGATCGTTCAGATTGTCAAAAAGAACTAATTGCACAATACTGTCAGAATATTAAGATTAAGTAATCATTCACGCTTTTTCGGTCCGGCTTTTTCCCCACTGAATTAACAAAAGCATTTTGTTTTGATACAGGTGTCTGAATGTTTGCACCACTAATTACAGGTTTATAATTATCTAAATATTGCGGAAAATAATCCCATTAGTTCTTGTTAAGCAGAAAAACCCTTAAAAAGGCAAGATTTATACTACAGGTAGTCCTTATGATACCTTAACTATTGGGCAGTTTGGCAAGGACTATAGGACTAGTGCCAATTTCTAACACTTATGTTATTCAAGTTGGTATTTACAGCAACAATTGGTATCCTGTAAAGCTGAAGGTGTGTTATCTATTTTAGATAGCAGCACTGCATTTACACCAACTTGTGGTATTTTCTCACTTACAAAAATATTTGTAAAAATCTTTCAATACCTTCAGAGTTGTCAGTAATTTTTGGTATGTGATTTGTATTCCTAGTTCTCATTCACATAGCTGTTTTCACCTAGAACCAGTGTAGCCTCTTACCACAAGCATAGTCGCCTTTCACAGCAAGCATGGGTTGCTGAAGACCTACTCTACCCCGGATCTTTACGGGTCAAGTCATCAGTGTGAAGATATACCATGGGTAACAATTTCAGGTGGCACCGCCAGAAACGGTAACTGTCAGGTTTTACACTGGAGAGCAGGCGCTTGGTTGGACTTGTCACAAGACTAGAACTAATAAACCTCATCATAACACAAAAGTGTTATCTATTATCATTAAACAAGGATACAAGTCTTTGTTATAATTGGCAACACTTAGTGGGGAGGGAATGGATGATAGGTCACTGTGTCAGTCATCACTTGTCATAGATAAGTATTGATATAATATACCAATATAATGCATGAGACTTAAAAACAATACATGTAGATAAAGTCATTTCAGATGAAATGAGAAACATACTGTGGGAATGACCTTCACTGTTACCTTGACCATATACGTAGGTCACTCAACCTTTTCAGATCTGGGCCCACCTCTAAGCAAGACCCATTACATGATGCAGATTATTAGTGATGTTAGGAGGGAGGGAGAGGGAGAGGGAGAGGGAGAGGGAGAGAGAGAGAGAGAGAGAGAGAGAGAGAAAGACAGAGACAGAGAGAGAGAGAGAGACTGAGGGACTCAGGGGGAGTTACTGTAGAGGCAGTGAAAGCTTTATCCAGAAGAATAGATGCTATTAGAGAAAGATTTAAAACAAAACAAAAACAATTACATAAAACAGACAGAAATACATTTAAAGAAATTTGAAATTTTCATATCGAATCAGCTCTTACCAGGGTGATCTGTTGTTTGCTTGATCAGTTGCATATAGAACTCATTACACAGGTGGTCATTCTCAAGGCACTTCAGCATAAGGTTCTGTATCATTCCAGTGTTGTCATGTGAATCACCTGCACCTGAAAATAATAGAGTACTGGAGTCATGAATTTATGATCTAAAAGAAGTTTCTTATTTGAAATAATGGCTGACACAAATGAAAATAGAACACAGACTATGTAGTTTTGTAGAGCTATTCTCTTTGGGTCTGTTCATATCTATTCCTATTAAAATTCATATGAAAACACATGTCAGGACATTGCCATGTTAGTACAGCATCCAATGTTTAAACCAATTCTTTTGATATCCAGGAGAATTAGACCAAGTTTTCTGCAATTCAGCAGGTTACTGCTGATGGCCTAGAGGAAGAATAACCTAGAGTGGAGGAGATACAGAAGCTCACCTTTGATTAGTAATAAAACATTTGAGGCAAGAGATCGAAAGAAGGAAAAATGCATAGTGTAATATAGGAAAAGCATTAAAAAATTCAATTTATTGTAAGATTTTCAATTTTTCATAATATATTTATGTACATATTACGGTGGCCCATAAGGGACATGGAGTTTGTTTTTCAATATTTTGATGTTTCACTTACTTTTATCGTAACCTTTAGCAAATGAACACAATTTTTTATAAAAATATGTTATAAATCATGTATAAAAACAACTGAAACATGGAAAATGTACTTTCAAGTAGCTATTGAGTCGCTGAAATGTGAAGCGAAAATGTCAAAAACTAAAATGGAAATGTCAAAAACCAAAACGAAAAGGTCAAAAACTAACATGAAAATGTCAAAAACAAAAACGACAATGTCAAAAACAAAAGCGAAAATGCCAAAAACTAAAATGAAACCACAGAAAACTATTTCCACTGGGTGATAATATTCCCACCGCGGTGGAAATAGTTTTCTGTATTTTCATTTTTGTTTCTGACATTTTTGTTTTTGACATTTTCATTTTCGTTTTTGACATTTTCGTTTTTGTTTTTGACATTTTCATTTTAGTTTTTGACATTTTCGTTTCACTTTTCAGCGATTCAATATCTTCTTCACACATGATTTATCACATATTTGTAAAAGGTAATGATAAAAGTAAGTGAAATATCAAAATATGGAAAAACAGACTCCATGTCCCTTATGGGCCACCGTAACATATGAGATTTACATTTCATTCCTCCATTGCAGCCAAATTGAAATTTTAGGGGTGGCCCCATATCTGAAAATATTTTGAATGTCATTGCCTACAACTGTGCCAAGTTTTATCACAAAGTGCACACTTTTTCATGAAACTCCTGCACCAAGGAGAACTAGAAAGTGTTTTTACTCGTAAAAACATATGTCTCCCCCCACTCCCCTAACCCCCATTCATTCGTTTACTTCACGTTAAACCCCATCTCTTCATTCCCACCCTCCATTACTAAATAACAGAGACAAAAAAAGAACACTTAGAAATTTCAAACAACTAATGGGCACCACTTCAGTGCTGGGTTAATGTGTATACAAAGTTTCGCGAAAAAATATTAAACGGTTTCTGAGTTATGGTCAGGAAACAAAGCTTACCCCCATTCAGAGTCTATGTTCAAGTTATCTCCATGGAAACGAGAAAAAATAAAAATGTCAAAAATCTCTAAGTAGCAAAAGGCACCACTTCAGTGCTGGGTTAATGTGTATACAAAGATTCGCGAAAAAAATATTAAACGGTTTCTGAGTTATGGTCAGGAAACAAAGCTTACCCCCATTCAGAGCTTTGTTCAACTTATCTCCATGGAAACGAGAAAAAATAAAAATGTCAAAAATCTCTAAATAGCAAAAGGCACCACTTCAGTGCTGGGTTAATGTGTATACAAAGTTTCGCGAAAAAATATTAAACGGTTTCCAAGTTATGGTCCGGAAACCAAGCTTACCCCCATTCAGAGTCTATGTTCAAGTTATCTCCATGGAAACGAGAAAAAATAAAAATGTCAAAAATCTCTAAATAGCAAAAGGCGCCACTTCAGTGCTGGGTTAATGTGTATACAAAGTTTCGCGAAAAAAATATTAAACGGTTTCTGAGTTATGGTCAGGAAACAAAGCTTACCCCCATTCAGAGCTTTGTTCAACTTATCTCCATGGAAACGAGAAAAAATAAAAATGTCAAAAATCTCTAAATAGCAAAAGGCACCACTTCAGTGCTGGGTTAATGTGTATACAAAGTTTCGCGAAAAAATATAAACAGTTTCTGAGTTATGGTCAGGAAACAAAGCTTACCCCCATTCAGAGCCTATGTTCAACTTATCTCCATGGAAACGAGAAAAAATAAAAATGTCAAAAATCTCTAAATAGCAAAAGGCGCCACTTCAGTGCTGGGTTAATGTGTATACAAAGTTTCGCGAAAAAATATTAAACGGTTTCTGAGTTATGGTCCGGAAACCAAGCTTACCCCCATTCAGAGTCTATGTTCAAGTTATCTCCATGGAAACGAGAAAAATAAAAATGTCAAAAATCTCTAAATAGCAAAAGGCACCACTTCAGTGCTGGGTTAATGTGTATACAAAGTTTCGCGAAAAAATATTAAACGGTTTTCTGAGTTATGGTCCGGAAACCAAGCTCACCCCCATTCAAAGTCTATGTTCAAGTTATCTCCATGGAAACGAGAAAAAATAAAAATGTCAAAAATCTCTAAATAGCAAAAGGCACCACTTCAGTGCTGGGTTAATGTGTATACAAAGTTTCACGAAAAAATATTAAACGGTTTCTGAGTTATGGTCAGGAAACAAAGCTTACCCCCATTCAGAGCCTATGTTCAACTTATCTCCATGGAAACGAGAAAAAATAAAAATGTCAAAAATCTCTAAATAGCAAAAGGCACCACTTCAGTACTGGGTTAATGTGTATACAAAGTTTCGCGAAAAAATATTAAACGGTTTCTGAGTTATGGTCCGGAAACGGTGGGAACGCCGACGGGAACCGTGCCAAAAACAATATGTCTCCCTCCATTCTGGGGGAGACATAATAAATGCTGAACAAAAAGTAAGACCCTAGTGACAGTAAGGCCCCAGTAACTGTAAGACCCCAGTAATAGTAAGGCCCCAGTAACTGTAAGACCCTAGTAACAGGAACACCCTAGTAACTGTAAGGCCCTAGTAAACAGTGAGACCCCAGTAATAGTAAGACCCAAGTAACAGTGAGACCCCAATAACATTGAGACCCCAGCAACTGTGAGACCTTAGTAACAGTGAGACCCCAGCAACAGTGAGACCCCAGTGACAGTGAGACCCCAGTAACAGTGAGACCCCAGTAACTGTAAGACCCCAGTAACAGTAAGACCCTAGTGACAGTAAGGCCCCAGTAACTGTAAGACCCCAGTAACAGTAAGGCCCCAGTAACAGGAACAACCTAGTAACAGTAAGGCCCTAGTAACAGTGAGACCCCAGTAACATCGAGACCCCAGTAACTGTGAGACCTTAGTAATAGTGAGACCCCAGTAACAGTAAGACTCCAGTAACAGTAAGACCTTAGTAACAGTAAGACCCTAGTGACAGTAAGGCCCCAGTAACTGTAAGACCCCAGTAGCAGTAAGACCTCAGTAACAGTAAGACCCCAGTAACAGTAAGGCCCCAGTAACAGTAAGACCCTAGTGACAGTAAGGCCCCAGTAACTGTAAGACCCTAGTAACAGGAACACCCTAGTAACTGTAAGGCCCTAGTAACACTGAGACCCCAGTAATAGTAAGACCCCAGTAACATTGAGACCCCAGTAACTGTGAGACCTTAGTAACAGTGAGACCGCAGTAATAGTGAGACCCCAGTAACAGTTAGACCCAGTAACAGTGAGACCCTAGTAACAGTTAGACCCCAGTAGCAGTGAGACCCCAGTAGCAGTGAGACCCCAGTAACAGTGAGACCCCAGTAATAGTAAGACCCCAGTAATAGTAAGACCCCAGTAGCAGTGAGACCCCAGTAGCAGTGAGATCCTAGTAACAGTGAGACCCCAGTAACAGTGAGACCCCAGTAATAGTAAAACCCTAGTAACAGTGAAACCCTAGTAACAGTAAGACTCTAGTAATAGTAATACCCTAATAACAGTAAGACCCCAGTAACAGAAAGACCCTAGTAACCGTCAAACCCTAGTAACAGTAAGACCCTAGTAACAGTGAGACTGTAGCCAAAGTAAGACCCTAGTAACAGTAAGACCTCAGTAACAGTAAGACCATAGTTACAGTAAGACCTTAGTAACAGTAAGACCCTAGTAACAGTGAGACCCTAGTAAGACCCCAGCAACAGTAAGACCCTAATGATTTGACAAAACATGTCATCACGATAAAAATATACATATCAGCTTCCTGATTCTGGCAATTTCATAGGAGATGTTTAAAGAGCCAAAATTGCATCTGGGGACATGATAAGAGCATTACAATACATTGTAAGCAAAAATACTTAACAGATCAGATTTGATCACTTGCGGAAATTGACAAGTCATCATTGGTTGGAACAAGCATGTAAAGTTCTGGCTTCATTGGTACACTGGTTTCTGAGGAGGTGATGCTTACAACAGATGACTCATGATTTAATGTATTTTCCAATATGGCCACTGGCAGCCATATTTGATTTCCGAACATGCATTGAACAAAGATGGTACCAAGATTCCAGTTTTGATGCCTTGGGCCCTCTTTAAGTAACAAACAACCACACAAAATTTCAGCTGAATTCATCAAGCCATTTTAGAGGAGATTTAAAAATCTTTATAAACGATGAGGCTGATGGACGATATAAGCTCATGTGGCTTTTCAGGACAGATGAGCTGATAAAACATTACGATATCAACAAATTGACAAATAAACATGGACATACTTGAATCTTCAATTCCTGCATAGACTAAAATGGAGTTGAACATTTTGACTGCCACTTCCTCCACTGAAGGGTCATGGATCACTGAGAGGGCTTGACGGAGTGGACTTTTGGTGTATGACCAGTAGTTAACATTAAACTGGCCACTCTCGGATGAAGACGTTGCATATGTGCGGAGTCTTTCAAGTTTTGTCTTTGTCAATCTGAAAGACACAGACAAACTTTAAGCACAATGTCATATGCGGTCATTTGAAAATTGTTAGTTCTCAGAACAGTTTCATATTGTAACAATCATATTTCTATTGTAATTCTTTTTTTACATAAAATACTTATATCTGTATAGGTAATTGTATTATTGATAGTATATCATACATACTCGAACCTCGTTGTGTCAAATTCATGGGGACCTAGAAAAGTAATAGAGTTATCCCGGATTCGAGGTAACCAACAAAGTGAATTTCCCAAAACCAAACATCATGTTATGAGCTATTATTATGTTATCTTGTTGTATTTTTTTTAATACTACATTTCATCATCAATAACCATATCATAACAAATGATGAAATACATGTATGATAACATACCTTCGAAGGGTGTTTCTTAAGAAATTGGAGCTACTGTCTTGCAGTGGACGCTGAAGCAAGCGTGATTCAGAAAGAGCTCTACGACATCTAACTATTTCCTCGTAGACTTTTAACTTCTCTTCGTCAGTCATCTTTATCTGAAATAGAGAGGAAAATACAACATATCATTTTGATTTATCACAAGTCCCATTATATGTTCCACAATCATCACATGCTGTATGACCCCCTCACACTGCTACACCTGCACACGTATTTCGTACATAACAGTTCCACAAATTCATAATGGCCAACAAAACAGAGACAAATTTATTGTGATCAACATTGGGTGACAACTATATACATATACTTTCTTTTTGAGGGACATAAACTACTTCAAATTTTGATATGCATACCATACATAAGTTATGATTTGAAAAGCTTACTTGGTAAAAAGTATTTGCAAGTTTTATTTGCGGTTGTCAATATGCTATTTGCCTGGGGGTTTGACAGCAACAACATAGCTAGTAGCATAGCACTCTGTCGAATGGGTTTGACAATAGCACTAAAAGCTTTAAGAAATTTTCAGATCGAAGTGCAGCCCCAAGAATGACATGTTAAAAGTTTCATAGATCATTAGTAACTGTTTCTGATACATATACTTGATATTACAAAACCAAATGCAGTGGTGGCATCAAATTCTGAAAAAGATCTCAAAGCATCCCCATTTACTTAAACAAACTATCAGTAGTAAAAAACACATCTGACCTTTTTCATGCTCTCAAAGTCCATTCGTATCCATGATGCATGAGAAGGTGAGTAGCTTGCAATCAATAGGCCAACATCTTCTTTGTAGCTTGTCTCAAACATATATGTCTGTTGTGGACTTTGTGTGTGGATCTGGTTCCTCAATTCCAAGGTAATGTAATTGTCATTGGGATCCATGGATACAGATTCAATATCCGAGAAGAAAAAGTCATTTATAACAGATTTGTCTTTTGCTCTCACAAATTTGATGCCATCCATGTTCACAGCCAATAGAGCATCACTGGTATGAGACCACAGTCCTCTATGCACAATTGGAAATAATGTACATCCATACAAGGGAAACTGTTTCACACATGTCAGATACCATACTTTTGCTGCAAGCTCAGTCTTTCCACTTCCAAAATGCTGCAATGAAAAATGTTCTATGTTTGAATAATTTGAAAAATGGCAAAAAAAAAACTGTAATGTTCTTTGTCATGTACCTTAATTGAAAACACAGCCATGACCTCTGTAGCTCACCTATGCCTTATTATGAGGCTGACTTTAATATTATCCAGGAAGGTGTGATCTGTTTGGACACTAACAGACCAACTACATTATAAATGTACTGTACTCCAAATGTACAATACTACAGTACCCTTTAAACACTGTCCAAATGTACAACTACATATGAGAGTGCCAAAAACATGGTCATAACATAGAAATTCAGTACTTGTACATTCTGATATATTGAGGTGACAGAAGAATGCATTTCTCTTTCTAATAAACATCACATATCAGAAAAAGGCACTGCATTTTCCCCAAATCATAAGTTGATGTTGTGAGATGCTGCTGCCCAAAATCACACAATAGTTAACATTGTTAATATACTCTGCAAAACAAGAAATGCAAAAGTGATTTTAAACATCATATAAATAATCAACAGATGTTTATGATTGTTAAAAATTGCCACACATCATTGTAATTATCCCAGGTTCCATATAGTACACATGGAACAGTAGATTTTCAAGGTGAAGGTCATCTGTTCTCAATATCCTGTATGGCAACCTCCAGAGTCCCGAATTGTGGCCAGAGTGTTCACCCACTCTGCCTGCAGTGTTGTGCCAAGTGTCAGAGGTTCTGTGGTTGATGCTGACATGCTTGCAGTCTCAGTGCATCCCATAAATATTCGATTTGGCTTTAATCTCAAGACCTGAAGGGCCAAAGCAGGACCTGGATGTTGTGAGTCCTGAAAAAGTCTGTTGCCACTCTTACGCATCGTGAGGTCAGGCGTTGTCTTGTTGAAAAATGACGTTGCTTGTTGCAAAATGGGAAGGATGTGTGGCCGATGAATCTAATCCGTGTAACGTTGTGCCGCTAAAATCTCCAGAAATGGCAACTAGTCTGTTACCCCTACCAGTGTAGGGGATGGCTGCCCACATCATCACACTACCACCACCAAATATGTCCACCTCCTGTATGCTGTTTTGTGCATAACGTTCCCTGCGAAGCCTTTAAACACGTCTACCATCTGCACGGCGAAGTATAAAATGTGACGCGTCATAAAACCAAACTGGTCTCCATCGCAGTTGTGGCTATACTCTGTGACCTTGACACTAGGGTTGAAACTATACAGCAAGGTCATGATACGATTTGCATCACAATACACATATTTATGTCAAATCACGTGAGAATTTCCTGACTATAAATATTTCAGAGCTTGTCCCAAAGGAAAAGCTAGCTGAAGACATGTTCATAGCAACTCTTCTTAGTAGTGAACTAGTTAACTTTGACCAAAATGCTGGGGTGGGGATCATTAAACAAATAGAAAGTAATTTATTTCAGCAAGTGTATCATCTTGTGTCGATACAGAAACGTATTGTGTATCGTATCATACACCGATGTGTCATTTCACCCCTACTTGACACCATTGATGCCACAGATGACATTGCAGGTCTGTCAAAATGACACCTTGACTTGGTCATAATGTGCGAACACCTTCAGTGTGTAAACAGTTCCTCACTGTCTGGGCCGACATCCTACTCAATCATGGTATTGGCATAGTTGTAGTGGAGGTCGTGGTGGTTCTTTCATGTAAGTGACATAGCCGTATGAATCTGTCATGTGCTATAGTAGTGAGATACATGGTCGCCCAGATCTGGGAAGGTCACGTGTTGTCCCATGTGTCTGGTAACAGTTTCATAGATGAGTCTCCTGGATGCAGTCGGCTGATGGTGTTGTTGCATTGGGCTTCCCTCAGTCGTGGCATGTTTTTGCTGTTCACTTGCTCTTAGATTGTGATTGCATGCCAACGAAAACCCAAGGTTTTTATAGCCCAACAAGTGATGCTGGAATGTGCTTGTCAGTTGGTGTGTTTCAGCGCCCATTCCATGCAGAAATGACCAATTCATTTTTGGTATTAGTTTTGTGTGGATGTTCTGCAACACTGTCAGATATTTACGACTTTACTATTTTTTGTTTCTTTTTAGCAAATAATTTTTTTATTCAAAGAATACTACCAATTCATTTTTGGTATTAGTTTTGTTTTGATGTTCGGCAACACTGTCAGATATTTATGATTTTACTACTTTTGCGTTTCTTTTTAGCAAATCATTTTTTATTCAAAGAATACTACCTTTTCTTATCAGTACCTAAAATCCTGCATTTGATCTCTCTTCACTGTCAACAATCCATAATTAGTTGCAATACTAATAGTATCTCCCTTCTCATGGCTCTCATGAATGCACAAGGCAGGAAAAGCTCACTTGGAGTATTCTTGGAATTATTAACAATGATAACTATTGCTTCATATTTCTAAAACCTTGATTACATCAGTGTCACAATATACCCTGAGGATCGGTGGATTCTGACATAACACCCTGTACAGTTAACAGTTAACTGAATTTAAAAGAAATTTACCCAAAACTGATTCCCATCCAATTTTGGTGGTTTTTTTCATTCTAAATCTAGTAATCCGGGGGTACCTAATCCTACATATCATCCCTAAACCACCTCAAAATTCCAATTTGGGGAAAACATCAAGGACCTGCAAATATGGGGCAAACTTCGATGAAATTATTGTTATATTTACATCAAATCAAACCTCAGCAACCTTGGCACCACAAAGACATGCAAGTCAGCGAGCCTGACCACCTGATCTTGTTAGTTGTCTTTTGTGGCAAGCATGGGTTACTGAAGACCTATTCTAACCCAAGAATGTCGAGTTCCTGTAGAGTTGCCGGAAGGACAGGGCATTGTGAGAGTGCTGGCCATTCCATGCAGAGAGTAGTCTCCTGCTCTAAGTGGGCATCAACAACCCTGGCACAAGGAGATCATATGAATGAGGAAGAGAGAGAAGTCCGGTCTGATTGTGCCAGCATATTGTCTCATGTACACATCCAGAATGTCATCCCTGTAGCATACAACTGTCATCATGCCATGCTACATGGAGATCAGTTCTTCCAATGCTACTGATCCCACACCAAATCATGATTGAGCCCCCTCCAGAGTGGTTAATATGTTCCGCTATGTGGAATCCTGAAATCTTTGTCTATGCCACACTCGGGCATGTCTTGTCGTAAGAGGAAACTAATGGTATCGGGTGGTCAGGCTTGGTTAATGCATGTCATCGAATCCCAATTGCATAGATCCATTCTCATGTCACTCACTGGATTGTCTGGGCCATACTTGATTATTTACAGAGCACCGTTATATAGCGGGAATATTGCTGAGTGTGGTGTTAAACAACAACAAAAATCATATGAAATACCAACCAAAAGTGTGTATGTATTTGGGATAGGGGTTGGTGGTGGTTAGTTCGGTGAGAGGGAGAGGAAGCCTCCACCATAATATTTTCCATATTCTCACTTGTATACATGTCATAAAAGCATGTTGTGTTTAATTACAGAAACACCTAATTTACAGGGTGTTTTCAAAACCTGCTCTCGCTTGCATAATGTTCAAATTCAATCTGCCACAGCAACCATGAATAAACATGTAAAGTTAGATTTCTGATGATATTTTCTAGTGGTCTGTACGTTGTGCCATTACGGAGTTCTCAGTTTGCATTCCACAGACTATAACTTCTAGTTTCTTTTAATGCTCAAGTGTGGTTTGTATCCTTGCATTCATTACATGTTGTGCATGTATGTAGCTACCGAGAGATTGTCATGTAATGGTTTGACAAGGTGGGACAGTTGGTTTGGGGCAACAGTGGAGAGAGGGAGAGATGGCGGAGGGCTGAGCCGATTGTGTCTCTAGGTGTATGTTATCTTAAGTTGGGTCCACTGATTGCACCGACTGCAGACTTTTTCAAGTCGAATGAAGATACAGGTGGTTCATCCTGGTGTTATTTCTACAAACAGTTATGTAGGTGTGTACGACAGATGAACTGGTGCCTTGATATACAACAAGAACAAATCTTGTTTATTGCTCCATGATTCGGATGTGTATCATCATCTTATGGTTCATTCTTTTACATGTATGTTTGGAGGCAAGAACAAAGGCACCGCCCATCCTTATCAGACTGAGATGCAATGAAGTTTTACAACTCAATAACAGAACTAGTTTACTTTCCACGATGTGAAATCCAACTCACTATCTGAACATGACAGACTACATTTGCATCGATATGGAATAATGTGGCCACTGTAACTTCTCAGCTTGACTGTTGACTTTAGTTGTTCATAGCTTTCTATACTTCAAAATTTGCCAACTGGAATGATGTTTGCCTATGACCCTGTGTCAGCACTGAATCTGGTATCTGTTCCTTGTAGTGGTTAAGTTGAATAAATATCATTTTCCTTGGTCAATGTATCTTGTATTCATCCTATGAATAGAGTTTCCTGACCATGCTCTGTGTCTTCACTGTGTGTAGACATATACTGATCCTAAATATACAGAATCCGAGTCTTCCTGTAATGTCCTTCTAGATCATGAATGCTAAATTTGCTTCTACAACACTGTTGAAAATTATACAACTTTTTACATTTGTGGCATACTCTTCTACCATGAACCTTGGCACAGTTTCTACATCTAAATGTGAACTTGGCTGAAATTGTGGGATTCTGATAGTAAGGCTTATTTCTTATGCCATAAATACTAGTTTCCTTGTCAAAAAGTGATTTGTTTTGTAGATTCTTCTGCTTTACAAATGCTTATGGCCTTCTGAAGTGACAAGTCTTCTGTCCTTAACAGTCTTTCTTTCACACTCTTTTACATAGTTTGTCCCATAAACTATTCTATCTCTAATGTGTTTAATCTTGTACTGTCCCAAACATGCATCCTTTCGATTCGGTTCTCAACTGTTACATATTCATCAATAGTTTAATGATTTCCCTGAAATCTTGTATTGAATTTCTGTTTTGGTATTGTGACATTCTGTTTTGGGGTACAATAATCATGGATTTCTGAAATAATACTTCCATCTTGTTTATCTCACACTGCTCCAATGTGAAAGTGTTTAACATGTCTCTTCCATCTTGCCCAATGATATACGGAAATGCATCACATTGGTCATTCTGTTTTGCTTTTGACATTCCTTAACTAAGAAAAAGTTCCATGGCTCATTCTCATCTTCTCCAATTTTCTGCTATACTGTTGTTATGGAAGTCTAATTCCAGTGGTGGCTTTAAATGTTCCATATTTACTGTAATTTAATACTGTAAAATTCCGACCATATTTATGAGGGTGTAAAAACTCTGGTGAACATGATGGTAGCGACCATGTTTTCATGAGCTTACAAGCTTCCTGTTGAAAATCTTAAAGTTTTGAGGCTGGTTGGCGGAGTTCGTCAGAGCAATTTGAGTTGTTTACTCACTTCATAGTAAACTTAATGATAGATATGCCACCCCTTCTAACACCATGTTGTGTTTGCACAATTGTCCGTTGGACAATAGGCAGAAAGAACGGACACAGTGCGACCAGCCATCACGACTTTACTGAACAAACTGTTGTTACAGGGAAAGGCCAGTGTGCATGTCTCCTGGCTCATGATACTTCTTCTACAGCTAGTTACAATCACTATAACTGTCTTCCTGGCTGCTTCCACCCTCCGTAACTTCTTCCAGGATTCAGCAACCTGAAAACAAATCAACCTGTGGGAGAGAAACGCTCTTTGTGCATCTCGACTCCTGTGTACATCTTGTAGATGGGCACTTCCAACAGGAAGAGTGTGCGTCTCTGGTGATATTCCAAGTGCCTATAGTACTTGGGAAGGGAGTGAGTGAGTGAGTGAGTGAGTTGGTTGGTTTTAATGCCGCTTTTAACAGTATTCAAGTTATATCACAGCAAGGAGGAAAGCCCGAAGTGATGCAGGTCTCGAACGTCTACCACTTCAGTGAAACCCATGAGTATGGGTATGGTGCTGACAAACCTAGAAACACAAATAGGGCGAACTGGGATTCGAACCCACAATCATAGGTTTCTGGCGTGCCCGCGGCACGCAACTCTGCACAGCAAATCGCTGCGCCTTAGAAGACTGGGCCACCCATGCCCCGTCTTGGGATGGGAGATACTATCAGTGTATAAACTAGTAACGGATAGTTGACGGTGAAGAAGACTTCTGAATATAGTTTTATGACAGTCGAAACACAAGATCTTTGGCAATAACATAATTAACATTTTTTGTATTTGTAGGAATTCTGTGAAGTTTCAGTTTTATTGGTGAAGTAGTTTCTGAAGAAATTGAAAATTTTACAATAAATTGTATATTTATATACTTATCCCATCTCATGCATTTCCTCCTTCTTCGATCCTGGTGTGGAAACAATCCTAAAACAAGTTTCCAGCTTAAAAAAAACCCCACTTCACCCAAACACACGTCAGTGTCACCATAGCCACCACCATAAACAGTGGGTCATACTCTACCTCTAGACCACGGAGGTGGTCTTCAGTGAAGGCGATAGTACCCTCCTAGAAACATGTAGATTAAGTGTCTGTACTGATGCAAAACACGTTTACTTAAGAGCTCAGGGTTTTACCTTGACTTACAAAAGTGGAGGTCCAGGGCAGCAGCCATATCAAAAATATGATTGAACCTTTTTTATCACATTTAGGTGTCATCATTAAAGGGGAACAAACATGTTTTCTGGCCAGTGGTTCCTGTGACGAAGTTTATAACAATGTTTACAGATGACAGACAAACAGACCATGATATAAGCTCACTTGACTTTCAGTCAGGTTTGCAAAAATTACATGATTGTCACAAACCGCCTAATATTTCACAACTTTCCCACTTGGATTAGCAATTGTATTGGAAAATTGTATTTGTCCACCCATATTTCTTTCATGTGTGTATCTCCAATCTCTGCCAAGAAGAGTGGGCAGACAAAATATTAAATAAAAAATATATACTTTGTTTCACTAATTGTCTATCTTATTTTCTTACATTTTGAAGTTTAAAATTTGGTACCAGTCCTTAAATTAACTTATGACAAAGGTTGAGTCGCTTTGCTTCGGAAATGAGTAGCTGAAGAAAGATCAAGCTGACCTGGTTCTTTAATGTGTCTGCAATTGTAGCGGTATTTTTCCATTACATGGGAGCATAATTTTCCACAGCAGTGGGGAATATTAAGACACAAAACCTTTTTATTAATTCACTTTGGAATGACTCAACTCAAAGTGGGCATCAGATTAGAAACTCAGAACAAAATATGGACAGCTTTATTCAATATATGATTAATTATTTACACCTGCCTTTTCAATAGTGAGATCAGAGGACATATTTTGTTTGTTATTTAATGCCAGCAATAAAAATGGCAGCCTGTTAATAATCCACACAAACCAGGGATTGATATTATTAGAAATAAACCACGCAGTCAGGATGCAATCAACCATGTCACTGAGTCACTCCATTTAGTAACCTCTTATGACAGGTATAGGTAACTGGAGTGAGTGAGTATGGTTTTACACCGCTTTTAGCAATATTCCAGCAATATCACAGTGGGGGACACCAGAAATGGACTTCACACATCACACATTGTATCCATGTCGGGAATCGAACCCGGGTCTCTGGCGTGATGAGTGAATGCTTTAACCACTAGGCTACCCAACCGCCCCTATAGGTAACTAGAGGCAGATCTATTTGAGCCAACTACATGCAGACATAGACAAGGACATATTACCCAAATGACTAGTAGCAGTAAATGTGACAGAATGATTAGACACTGGTCAGATATCCGCCAAAGATTTGTTACATATCTGGTATGCAGATGCAATGTGTTTGTCCTGTGGATTTGCTAACTTGAACTCTTACGTATTGATTGGAAATATTAGGTATTAATCAGAGCTGGAACATATTGCAAAGAAGTGTTTATTCAGAAGAGAACATTCTTTGCCTTATTACAGACAATATGATGACATGTTCAGAAGGGCTATGCACTGTTGAGCTAATACTTTGCTTGACCGTAGAAGAAACTATTAATTCATACCTTGTGAGCTCTGGAAACTTCCATTGACCAGTTCCGACCAGAAGAAGCAAGTATCCGACCAGTTAGATACTGCTCAGCTTCACTGTATCTGCAACAACAACCTAACATTAATTCTTCGTTACAATCAACAATTGCTAGAGAGTACCAGCACACTGTTTGTATCCCTTGGTACAACAGTCCCACATCTCTGTGTGTGTTGTTGTTGTTGTTGTTTAAACGTCCACTCAGCAGTATTCCAGCTATATGACAGCGGTCTGTAAATAATCAAGTCTAGACCAGATAATCCAGTGATTGCCATCTTGAGCATCGATATACGCAATTGGAATATGATAACATGCATTAACCAAGTCAGCGAGCCTGAACACTCGATCCTGCTAAGCAACTTACGACAAAAATAGTAGCCTATTACGGCAAGAATGGGTTCCTGAAGACCGGATCTTCACGGGTCAACTTGCAGGATTTGGGCATTACATTGGTTTCATTACACCAAATAACCTTAAAATCATGTAAGTGTTTATTATGGGCTATGGAGTTCAACCAACACAAGGAATAGCTCAAACATATCTTATTTCAAAATGTAAATTTAAATGTGATTGATAAACAAGCCAAGAGATCCAAGTTTCTTTCCCTAACTAAATGAATTACAAAACATAATTTCAAGTGTGACAAGTAAATAGTGAGTAAGTTGGTTTTAAAGCCTCTTTGAACAATACTCCAGTTATATCATGGTGTGATAAAGATAAAGAAGAAAGCCCAAAATGATACCAGTCTAAGACGTTTACCACTTTTGTGAAACCAATGGTGCTGACAAACCTAGAAACATAATCGGGGCATATCAGGATTAAAACCCATGATAATAGTTTCTGGTGTGCCAAAGGGACACAACTCAGCGCAGCGAACTGCAGGGCCTTAAGTGACTGGGCCACCCGTACTCCTGACAAGTTGAAAAACAAAATAGGAGTACCTTGAAAACATGTATTAGTTGTTAAATGGAATTATAAGTATATAACAAGATATTCAAGGTGTGGCTAAGATTTCATTTGGCCAAGGAGTAACATCCCTTGAAACATCAAGTGTACACAAGTATTTCCATTCAATAACAATGTTAAAGCAAGGGCCGGTCAGTCTAGCTTTCGGTGGCAACAAGAACAGGGGCGTGTTTCACAAAGCAATTGTGGAAATACAATCATCACAAGCCTATGTTAAAGTAATTACAATAGTCACTATTATCACTAAAAATTGGGCCCTGGATTTGATGGAGTTTGTTGCTCATTATTTTTAAACATCATGCCTTGAACCAACTGGTGTTGGCCTAAAAACATGAAGAAATAGGAAATATCTGAAGTACTCAGGTTGAGAAGGTACACAGCCCTGTACAAGGAGAAGTTTGTGGAAATTCTGAAGGACTGGTTTGAAAGGATGCAGAACCCAGGGACATGAGGAACAGGTACTGAAGATTGTTCAAGGAACCCATCTTGGGATTGTGAGTATTACAGATTCTCAGGGATAAATATTTTGTGCGGTGGACGACAATGAATGAAGATGTCTTGTGAACATGTGTCACCAGTTGGACCAGAACCAGGTATTTCATCAGAATTACCCAGTGGACTATGGCAGGAATTAGTATTTCATTTCTCATTCCCATCAGGACCATTTGCTGGTTTTTCAGTAGCCTTTTATTCTAGTTGGCATGTAGTTATGTTGCTCTAGATGACAATTACCCAGTGTGTAATCAAGGTTTGTTTACAAGATACAAGGGGTAGCTGAAACATTCTGAGCCTATGATCGATTATACTGGTGGAGTTGGTTTCTATTCTTGTTCAGTGTAATCCCCTCCAAGGTCCAGAACTTTCTGGCAATGATGCTGGAGACCCTTGATTCCACAGGTGTAGAAGGCTTTTTCCCTGTGTAGACCACAGAGAAATTACATCATCAATTGCATAGTACTTGCCAATGGTTCTTTCTTCATGTTTGGAAAGAGGTGGAAATCTGATGATGCCAAATTTAGTGAATACGGAGGATGCTCAATAGGTTTCTGAAGCCAAAACATCAAGCCCAGTTCTTTCTTTCTTCAGAATGTTCTCAACTCTCTCAGGAGAGATGCCTGCTGTATTGGCTATGTATGTTTGAAAACAATATGCTGCCTGGTTGTGTATTAAGCATGCAAAGTATTGTAGTTAGTTCTGTAAACTGTTAAGGGTGTTCCATACATTCTTCGTAGCTTGCTTCATAGCTTTTCTGACCGCTTTTGCGCTTTTGGGGTCTAGTAGCAGAGCATCTCCCCAGAGAGGAAGATCGAGGGTTCGATCCCCGGCCACATCATACCAAACGATATTAAAAGATGGTACTTGCTGTTACCCTGTCTAGAGCTCACCATTAGGGGTTGAAATAAGGACTGGTCGGCTTGGAGTGTTAGCACTATAAAATTGGCTTTAGCAGCCACACACACACACACGCAGACGCGCACACGCACGCAGACGCACGCATGCACGCATGCACACGCACAGCTATGTAAATGCAATAATCTTGGATGTGACGTTAAACCCCATTTCACCTCACCTCACAGGTTTTCAGACACCCCTTATACCTCTATCCATCTCAGAAGTCGGGAGTTACTATTAAGAATATTTGGAGCCATGGCTATCATCCAACATCCACCATCTAAATGAAGGATGTGTCATTGACAGAACCTTTTCGATCATTAGAAGCGTGGAGGTGAATCGATCATCTGGAGGGCAGAGATATCCTGTGATCAAGTGGGAGCGAGCTCCGATGTAGATGATGTCCTGGTTAAATGTTAGTTTTTATTTGGAAGGATGAATGATGTGTCAAGAGAAGAGTCCAGACACACTTGTAGTTGAGATCTGTCCTGATTGGCTGCAAGGATGTCGTCGTCCAAATATCCATGGAGACAAACCACATGTAGATGGGCGAAACTGATGACTGGGGGCGTAATCCTGGTGAATAACCATGGGGCGATTGAGATCCTGAAATCAAGTACCTGGAACTCAGATCGGTGGCCATATCGGAGATATTTCTGGGACTGGGGATGAATCGGCACCTGCAGATACCCACCCAGAAAGGTCAATGCTGAAGAGCCAATCTCTTTGATGTAGTGTCAAATGTAATTTGAAGACAGATTCCATCTGGAATTTTTTTTAGGAGGTATCAAGAAGTGCTTGTACAGGACCTTGAGATCTATGATCACTCATCTTGGTAGAGTTCTTCTTGAGAACCAAGAACACAAGGGAGTAATAGCCATACTGGTGTCTGTGTCTAGGAATTTCCTTATGGCCTGCTCGTCTAATGAGGCTTTGATGGCTAGGTTGATGTCTTGAAGTGTAGCTTGTAACCGTGAGAGATGACGTCTATAATCTAGCGGTCGGACTAAATGAGTCTTGATATCTGTGAAAGGACTTTAAGGCCAGAAGGCACTGTGAATGTTACACTTTTCATAGCCAGCCAGGAAATACTAGAGATTCTGCTAAGCGGGTTGCTGAACAGTTCCTGTTATGATTCATGTGTTTTACGCCAGTATAACTTGTAATGTCGTGATGAAGGAGATGTAAATCGATGTATTGTATTATGGGCCTCATATCACGATACAATACTGTGTCGCCATATCGTTACACCACTATGACATCACCATCCTTCTGGCATGAGATGAAACAGCCTTAGATGGTACTTGCGACAGGAGTTGACGTTGCATCCAAAGTAGTTGGAATGAAGTACAGATTTGCATAGACAGAAATTCCTCTTGCATACTTACCATACCATGAAGTAAGCTGTGGATCAATCCGACTTTGTCTAGATGAAGTGACCTACTTATTGGCGTGGCTCTCATACAGATGACATGTCCGAAAGCTATGAATTCACAATGCCCTTCAGAAAGTGGGCAAATATAAAAAATGTTATATTTGGTAAAACACTTTCTTAATAAAGAACAGATTCTAGAACTTTCTGGTGTTTGAGTCCCATCCAGGATTCGAACCCACACTGCCAAAGTGAGGCACCTAATTGCCTCGCATCAATGCACTGAACCGACGAAATGTTCATTGACACATATGGTAAGTGTGGTTAAATGAGTTCCAATTGAGAACGGTTGGGTAATTGGTACCACAATGCATTTTTGTATGGTTTACCGTATATGACCGCGTATAAGTGGAATTTTGAGGACCAGAAAAAAGATTCTGTAGAAAGGGGTCGGCTTATCCACGGGATACATTTTCATGATAGTATTTTTCAGATCGTGATCTGTCAGAAACATCGCCTGAATGACGGTCCGATAGATAACAACTTCCCGAAAGTTTGGAAGTTGCCACGACTAGAGCCATTATTGTTATAAATTATCAATAAAGTTATTATTATACACCAATGTTGTCATTATTAAAAAAAATGTTATGCATGTTACTACTTCCGATAATAAGTTTTCAATTGAATGTTCAAAGTTTATCGTTCTTCGTAAACTCCACAATCTTTACATGTAACAATATATGTAATTCACAGCTATAATATATAATCCCCAGATAAAATCGCCAATAGCTATTACGTACGTTTTGCAAAGTTCATAAATTGAAAGTGAACAAGTGTCTACCTTTATTGAAAGCGGCAAATAAACAACTGTATCGGCGAGTTATTCCGTTCGCAATTTGCATGTGATCATCTGTTTCCTGTGACGTCACAAACGGTGACCACTGTGATTGCTTCCTGTTGTTTAAAGCAACACGGTACACAAGGAAATGAGCATTGATAATAACGGGCCGATTGGTATTGTCATGTTGTTTACACAAACATTTTCAAGTTGTGGGTGCTTAGCGATCGTGTTGGGAGTAGGGGCTTAATTCCTTTGTTTTCGAGAGATTAGTTTAATTAACTGGAAAAGCCTGTGAGTAAGTGATGGTCATTCAATGTGTTCCTAGTATGATAGTTTATTTAATTCAATTGGATTAACATACAATAGTGGTGTAAAGGGGGTTATAAAAGTTGGTATATTTTTACTGACTGACATTTTCATCATGAGTTTTAAACGAAAACGCCATGCTTACGATGCTGAATTCAAACTGCGAGTCTTCGCTCCAGCTGATATATTTTCTCACGGGTTCATAATTCTATATACACCGATTCACAAAATGGCGCTTGGTTGTTGATGGGAACATATAACGATCATTATGAGATTTAAAAAACCCACGAGAAACGGCTTCCCACATTATGAAAGTGGATGACTGGTTTGTTAAATCTTTATTAGAAATAATAATGACTTTTTCAATATAATTACAACGTTTTTCATCTTATATTTCTGCGAGTACCGGCACATGTCTTTCAGTCCGACTTCGCACTGTTTTTTGTCTTTCAATTCCTGATTCGGCTTATCTGCGGGTCATATCATTTTCTTTCGTATTTCAATGGTCAAATTAACACCTCGGCTTATCTACGGGGTCGGCTTATCCGCGGTCATATACGGTAATTGGGTGGAAATGCAATTTTCAACAGGGTACAAAATACCCCAGAAAGTATACATGCTATATTACAAAATCAACAGTATTCTTATCAGAAATATTTGTTGTCACCAGTAATGTATATTTTTAGGTAGCCATTGCAAGTGGCGAACAATAGCCAATAATAGAATTTAAGTCACATAGGCAACTGAAATTTTTACTTCTAAGAGGGTTGGATAACAATTTTGAGACCACATTCTTTAGATTTCATGCTATGTTTATGAGTGAGTGAGTGAGTGAGTGAGTGAGTGAGTGAGTGAGTGAGTGAGTGAGTGAGTGAGTGAGTGAGTGAGTGAGTGAGTTTGGTTTAACGCCGCTTTTAACAGTATTCCAGTTATATCGCGGCGTGTCAGCTTAATGCGGGAGGAAAGCCCAAACTGATGCAGGTCTCAGACGTTTACCACTTCGGTGAAACCCACGAGCACAGGTATTGTGCTAACAAACCTAGAAACATAATCGGGGCGAACCGAGATTCGAACCCACAATCATAGGTTTCTGGCGTGCCCAAGAGACGCAAAGTGAATCACGGCGCTTTAGACGACTGGGCCACCCGTGGCCCCCCCCCCCCCCCCACACCATTGTTTATGAAGGGAGAGATACATGTTAGTTTTACAGTACTGTGTGGTTCAGCAAGTCATGAGAAGACTTTACAGAAAAAGCCAACTATGAACATACAAGCAGGCTATGACAGGTCACCTGATCTACAGACAGATGAGCAGCTCAAGGCCGTGACATGAACTCACTTGACTTTCAGCCAGGTGAATCAGAAAATAAAGAATGAGCACATGAATTAGAATATATCTGGACAATAAATTCTGTCGATGAGAAACCCAAACAATTACCTAAATGGTTTGTCCTCCTCAAACTCTCCCCAAATCACTTGTGCCTGCAAACCTGCCAACTGCAAGGCAACTTTCTCCGACACAGAGAATTCATCCAACTGAAAAACATCCAACAACAAAAATCAGTTCATTTTACACCTCAGTTTTAACACAGACAACAAGGGAGTACATATACCCATATCTTAGTGACATGTGACCAAAGGCTGAGATCGTCTTCACAAGACAATTACACATGATAATCTTAATCTCTGCATATAAATTAATGCCTAGCATTACAGGCAATACGACTGAAATTGTAAATAATCATGTCTAGTTTTGTTTTATTGCACATTTCTCCAGTTTGTTCACCAAGGATAAATGGCATTTCAGTAACAAGTTTAGTGAAAATGTTAAACAGTTTTCAAATGAAGTTACATGTTGGTAACTTTGTACATGTCATTCTCCTTGAAGCATCGGTCAAAAAATCATCTTCAGACTTTGACCTCAAGGATGACCTTGACCACTGACATGACTGGTCAATGTGACAAAAAACACTTCCCTGGGTTACAAAGGAGATGTTCATGATATATCACCGACGATGTCCAAGTGCCCAGAGACAGCCAAGCACCATGCAAGTGTGTGTGTCTTTGTTGTTTAACGCTGCACTCAGCAATATTCCAGCTATATGACGGCGGTCTGTAAATAATCGAGTCTGGACCAAACAATCCAGTGATTGACCACATGAGCATCGATCCACGCATTTGGGATTGATGACATGCATCAACCAAGTCAGCGAGGCTGACCAATAGATCCTATTAGTCATCCCTTACGACAAGCCAAGTCGCCTTTCACTGCAAGCATGGGTTGGTGAAGACCTATTCTACACCGGATCTTCACGGGTCCCAAGCACCATGTGGTTATCAAGATGCTGGCCCCCTCTCATGGCGGGGGCTAAGTTGATGAGATATTCCCAAATGAATCCACCAGTCTTTCCTAATGAGCTGCAACCTGGTGTAGACTGCCGCATGCTTACCTTCACAACTTTGTTGACAGCTTCAGCATACAAGAGATGGTATTCCACTGGGTCATTTGGAATGTCATGAACATGGCGGTACACTCGTTTCTTGAACACCAACTTTGCATCACTTCCTCCTAAGGCTAATTTTGGGCCCTTCTTGTTTACAGTCTCATATTTGCTTGGTTGTGCTGACAGTCTGTCCAAGCTAAACAAATGAAATCAAAGTTGAAAAGACAGCAAATAATCAACTACAAACAAGGAGACACAGGCAGGATTTCCCCTGCTCTTGTCTTAGATGTTCATAACAATCATAAGCTTCAGTACTTCTCTGGCAAATATCTGATCATACCATCCAAACCTGTGGTTTGTCCTAGAGCCTTTGAGTGACACAGGGAGAGTCAAACATGATATAGTTACATCAACTGATTCCTTCTATACTTTAAATGAGGAGGGCATGGGTGGCCCAGTCGTCTAAGATACCACCCAAATTAAGGGGACACACCCTGACATAACTGTTAAAAGCAACGTTAAACCCCACTCTTAATCACTCTTTCAATGTGTTTGTTGTCTTCTGTACTTTCCTATTGTTTTGTTGTTGTTTAACGCCGCACTAAGCAATATTCCAGCTATGGTGGTCCGTAAATAATCAAGTCTGGACCAGACAATCCAGTGATTGACATCATGAGCATCAATCTACCCAATTGGGATACGCTGGCATACATCAACCAAGTCAGCAAGCCTGACAACCTAATCCCGTTAGTCGCCCCTTATCACAAGCATAGTCGCCTTTTACGACCAGCATGGGTTGCTGAAGACCTATTCTACCCCGGATCTTCACGGGTAGAGTATAACCCAGAAGAATATGTAGTGTATGTCGAAACTACAAACTACATTAGCACAAAGGTAATGTTAGACGTACCACTTCTGTTAGCTCTAACACCTAAGAAGTAAGTTTCACAAAGAACTCACATGACAAAGTAGACACAATTTATGGATAACAACTTTGATAGCAAAAACGTTATGTTGACATATAATATGACATATAATAGTCAAACTACAACAAATATGACTTTCGAGTCAATGTATGGCATTTATGATATATATATGTCCATTGTCTATCCACTCAAGTTCATTTCAAGGCATCAATAGTGGCAATCTGACCATGGTTGCTATAAATAACGGTGAGTTATGCGATCTTCCGATCACTTCACAAACGATTTCGCCAAAATGAAAGTAAACAGATTTACAACACTTTTTTATAACCCAACAGTGTAAGTACATGATTAGTTTGCATACTTCAGTACGGATTTGTTGACATGGTATATTTCTGGTGTTACATGCTGGCAGTAATGTATTTGTGTTCGGGGAAAAAACCCATCAAATCTCTTCAACCCCGTGTAAAAGACAACCCCCCTTGAAAGCCCCCTAATTCTAGATACATAAAACTTGCCTTATACACAGCGATATATGGTATGTGTTGCCTACAGTTATGGTGTGTTTTTTTAAAAATGAAAGGTATGCAAAAACATACGTACTGTTCCCACTGGGCCAGAATGTCACTCACATATTCATATCTCCTTACAAATCTTTCAATATCTCCAGTAACCTGCAATATAAGACATACATACATGTACATCATAACAATATTACTTCATCATATTAAATCTATTTTGTCCACAGTTTAAACTAGCTTTGAAGGGCGTCCCATTCAAGACAACCTGCAGAGTACATCTCCTACAAATTCAAAATCAAATCCCAAAATTCATTATGTATCATTTATCCATAAATTCTGTGAAAGTGAGTGAGTTAAAATTTTACGTCACATCAGCAATATTTCAGCCAAATCATGAGACAAAAGTATACATTAATAACAAATATATTTAGAGTGTTTTACGCTACTTCACCTCCCCTCAAGGGTACAGCCACTAACAATCTAAGTTACTTAGTAGCACTACCAATTTACAACATAACACTACGTACATCAAAACTAATCAATTAATTCAATTTCTTTTAAAAAACAAAGAATTAATTGTTTGATAGGCATTACTTAGAAGTTGACAGATGACAAAGTTCAGATAATTCATGGATAACAACTTCTGTATTCACTGTTAAGGCGAGGTTTCAGTATACACAACTGGATACCATATTCGACGTAATAAGCGCCCAGGGTGCTCTCAAAATTAGAAATAGGGGGCTCTTATTAGATTATTATGTTGGTGAAAAAAACAGAGTTGAAAGATAAATTTCGTGGTTTATAGTGACAACCTGAAATGTTTATGTACGACAGATATATTTTTCCAGAATTTAATTGCCCATAATTAAGGGTGCATATAACACACGAGTGTGTATTATACGCGAATAAATAAGTCTTGTGTACAATCAGAAGGGGTGCTAATTGGGATTGTTCACTAGCCAATATATCAGCAAATATCACCGTGGGCGCTTATTACGTCGAATACGGTATGTCATATTGTCGAGGGATATGAGTATTTCATGCTTGTTAAACATGGCTGCCGTGACATCATTGGCCTTGTAGCTTGAGATTTTATCAATTATGTACAAGGTTATGACAGATAAATGTAGCAAGACATTAACTCGGATATGAAATGAGAGAAATACGGTACAGATGGGAATACAAAGACGAATGTTTTCATATGGTAATTGATAACTAGATGAATATATTCAGTCAGTTACCTCATAAATTGACCATCCTTCCACACTTCCAAGTCCGATCTTTTCTGCTAGCCTTTCCAACAACTCCGTACTTGTGTCACAAGGTAGAACTGTTACAGCTTTTGTCTTCCCATCCATGAAATACACCTTACAAATAATTGGGCTCAATGCTCTTACACTCTGGAAACAAACAAAAACATTTCTAAAACAGTGCCCAGAGTTCTTTAGCTCATCTGAAAGAGGTTCTGATATTTGCAACAATGTGAAATACGGCACTGTAGCTCAACTGAATGAAAACAAAGATGGCCACTAACAAAAGTTGTTGTCAGCACTGCTATTCAAATATTTTCTACCCAGATACTGAGAACTAAAAACTAACACCAAATGCTATACATTTGAGCAAAACACAAACACATAAGTTTGCTTCCTCATTCTGGCAATTTTAGAGGAGGAGTTGTTTACAAAGCCACAAATACGTATTGAGAGAACTTATGGGCATGTTATAAACACAAAGATCAAAACATGATCAAACTTTAAGATAGCAACAGAAAGTAGAGCCTAATGGCTTTTTAGCTCACCTGAAACAAAAAGAAACAAGAAAACAGTGATATCACTATGCCAAGTCACGGGGCACATAAGAACTGTGTTTGTTCATATAGTAGTAAATAATATGGAAGATAATGTTGAACATGCCTTTGGAATTGCATTCATTGCAATAATTTTAAACAAAGCAAAAAGCCTTTTCCCCCATATTGGTCCTGTTGTCGATGAAAATACTACTCACCTCGTTAAAGCCATAACATCAGTTGCAACCATAACAGCGTCGATTGGGAAAAGCTTAATTCCAATTCTGGGACATTTGCTGAATACTTCAGCCCCTAAGCAGGTCTAGGTAAATTCCTCAGTGATGACTAGCACTTCTAGACACTAAACAGTGATTTTGACACAAAAGGCTGTATCTAGGTCAATGACTTGGACCCAAGAAATGTAACAAGTCAATGGCAAATGTCAGTAAGTCAAAAAACCCACAAACTTCTGTCTGGACAGCCTTTAATAATTTCACAATGGCCAATATATATGAAGTGGCCAGTGAACGTTGAGATAAGAAAAGCCCTACCCATTTACATGCGGCTGCAACATTACTTACCATAATTTCAATTGCTGATGGCGGCAATTTTCGTGAGGACACACGGGGGACTGTCAAATGTTTGTGACACATCAGGGCATACTTGCCAACAAGAGCATCTGAGCAATTCATCTTCACGTAGGAGAGCAGGTACTGAAAAACAATCCACATGGCCTTGTAGCTCACCTGAAAACTTCAGGAATATTCACAACATTACACTTTAGGCGAGGTGAGGTGAGGTGAAATGGGGTTTACCATCGTGTCCAAGATTATTGCACTTATATAGTGACGTGCATGCACGTGTCTGTGTGTGTGGCTGCTTGTACTTGTCCGGACTGATGCCGATTTATAATGCTAGCTCACTGAGATACCATGCTGCAGTTGAACATGGAATACCCCACTCAGACACAGTATACTGACTCCGAGCCGACCAGTCCTAGTTTTATGCCATTAATGCGGAGCGCCAGGCAGGGTAACAACAAGTACCATCTTTTAACGTCTTTTGGTATGATGCGGCTGGGGATCAGACCCTGGACCTTCACCTCTCCAGGCAGATGCTCTACCACTAGACCACGGAGGTAGTCATAAGACAAGGATAAACAGGAACACACAAAAATTGACTGTCGTCAAAGCATCTGAACTGAACAAACTTGCTGTCAGCATAGCCATGCAAACAAGTTCTGCATAAATATCAAACAATAGTTATTACTGTTAATAATTCAAAGAATACAACTTCTGTTTACATCAGTGTCATAGTTCTTGTATTTTGGCTGTCATCACACTTTCAAGTCTTCAGGTTTTCAACAAAAATCCTTTTCACTGTAAACTATACATAAGCAATTAAGATACTAATAGTACCTGCCCCTGAACCCTGTACCTGTGCAGCCAGGATACATATAGAATACTTAACATGCTCCCATGAAATACCAATCTTATAAGTCAATAGGTCTCGCTTTCACCGTCAGATACCAGAACTATTCACAAGTTTATAAAATGTTATTACACGGAAATGGGTTTACCTTTTTATTTATTACTTGCCATTTATAAATTCTTTTTTTTTTTAAATTTCACTGTCGTGTGTACATAGGCAGACATCTACACGAACCATGGCATAGTGCAATGGAGTTTAACAGAATAATACTTCAAACACGGCCAACCTTTAGAATTCAGGGGTCCATTCCACAAAGCTATCGTAGAGCCATATACTCCCATACAATAACATGGACTTCCGACTGTCGTTGTGCAACAATTGCCTTGTGGAACAGGGTCTCAATGCCACAAAGCTTACAATCAAGTCTCAATATTCTATGATGTGATATGAAGAGTATTGTCGCAAGATCCATCAGCGAAACAATGCCAAGTGACGTCAACCTAGCAACAGGGTTGCTGGTAAGGGGAGACAGCCTAGTAACAGGGTTGCTGGTAAGGGGACACAGCCTAACAACAGGGTTGCTGATAAGGGGACACAGCCTAGCAACAGGGTTGCTGATAAGGGGAGACAGTCCATCAACAGGGTTGCTGGTAAGGGGAGACAGCCCATCAACAGGGTTGCTGGTAAGGAAGACAGCCTAGCAACAGGGTTGCTGGTAAGGGAAGACAGCCTAGCAACAGGGTTGCTGGTAAGGGGAGACAGCCCATCAACAGGGTTGCTGGTAAGGGGAGACAGCCTAGCAACAAGGTTGCTGGTAAGGGAAGACAGCCTAGCAACCCTGGAAGACAGCCTAGCAACAGGGTTGCTGGTAAGGGGAGACAGTCCATCAACAGGGTTGCTGGTAAGGGGAGACAGCCTAGCAACAGGGTTGCTGGTAAGGTGAGACAGCCTAGCAACAGGGTTGCTAGCAAGGTAAGGGGAGACAGCCTAGCAACAGGGTTGCTGGTAAGGGGAGACAGCCTAGCATCAGGGTTGCTGGTAAGGTAAGGGGAGACAGCCTAGCAACAGGGTTGCTGGTAAGGTGAGACAGCCTAGCAACAGGGTTGCTAGCAAGGTAAGGGGAGACAGCCTAGCAACAGGGTTGCTGGTAAGGGGAGACAGCCTAGCATCAGGGTTGCTGGTAAGGTAAGGGGAGACAGCCTAGCATCAGGGTTGCTGGTAAGGTAAGGGGAGACAGCCTAGCATCAGGGTTGCTGGTAAGGTAAGGGGAGACAGCCTAGCAACAGGGTTGCTGGCAAGGTAAGGGGAGACAGCCTAGCATCAGGTTTGCTAGCAAGGTAAGGGGAGACAGCCTAGCGACAGGGTTGCTGGTAAGGTAAGGGGAGACAGCCTAGCGACAGGGTTGCTGGTAAGGTAAGGGGAGACAGCCTAGCAACAGGGTTGCTGGTAAGGTAAGGGGAGACAGCCTAGCAACAGGGTTGCTGGTAAGGTAAGGGGAGACAGCCTAGCATCTGGGTTGCTGGTAAGGTAAGGGGAGACAGCCTAGCATCAGGGTTGCTGGTAAGGTAAGGGGAGACAGCCTAGCAACAGGGTTGCTGGCAAGGTAAGGGGAGACAGCCTAGCATCAGGTTTGCTAGCAAGGTAAGGGGAGACAGCCTAGCGACAGGGTTGCTGGTAAGGTAAGGGGAGACAGCCTAGCAACAGGGTTGCTGGTAAGGGGAGACAGCCTAGCATCAGGGTTGCTGGTAAGGGGAGACAGCCTAGCATCAGGGTTGCTGGTAAGGGGAGACAGCCTAGCAACAGGTTGGCAACAGATAGGCTTGTGGCTGGATGTACCTGTGTGGGGTCCTTGTGGTGACCGGGATGACCTCATAACAGTCGCTGTCTAGGCCTTTGAAGCGTCCATGGTGAACAGGAAGACCCTTTATAAATTGATGGCATGTGTCTGTGTGGTCCATGTGGGAAGCAAGCGGTCATCAGCTGGGAGGCTGCTTATCCTTATAATAGTATTGACTGCCGTGTGGAGACCATCCATCTTGGTGGCTATGACGGCCAGGCAAGAATCCAATAGAGATTCCATCACCGTTTTCTGCTTCATGAACATCTGTTCTAACAGGTTGAAGGAGAAAGCAGGAGTTGTAAAGGGTTGGGGATGTAGACGTTTCAGCAGGAGCAGCAGTTGATGGAGATGAGATGATGTTCGCAATCTTCTTGGTCGCCTCCTTTCTCCTAGAATTCTTGATAGAATCCAATAAATGGTTAAAGGCTGACTTTGATAGGAGGAGCACAGCTGGCATTGAGTCTCTTCAGTCCAGATGGCATCTCTGCATTTCTAGAAAGCAGGATGAATCTTCCACTGATTTTCAAGCTGGGGGAGAGATCAAGGATGCCATGACTGACTCACACCAACACAACTTATCCTCACATTAGTATCAAGCAACACAGTGACGATGTAACACGAAAATCCTCGGCTACAAATCTGCTACCAAGCTGCTGGAGAAACCGTGAAAAGCTGATGTCTCTAACACACAGAGGAAAGAAGTGAGGATTTTCCCGCTTTAGAAAGCTAAAGAGTGGTGGTACTAATGCAGTGACAACTGGTTATGTGTAGTTCAGCTGACAATGAAGAGGACTTCTGTGGAAAAATTTAAAGATTATTTGTTGTGTGATTGCAGCCAAAATACAAGAATAATGGGTTTCTTGAGTGCCCAAGGGATGCAACTCTGCACAGCGAATTGCAGCATCTGAGACAACTGGGCCACCCCTGCCAGGTATGAGATCTGTTAGGTTTGAAAAAAAAATCAAATTTGGTGGTGGTGGCAGAGCTCAAATACATTAAGCAGCCCTCCATGCAAGAGACTGCCAATAGATAAAATTTGAAGAAACTGCATCAACACTAAAACAATATCTCTTCTGTTCTATAGCAGTGGAGAATATGAAATTTAAGCGATAATGTCATACCTTGTGCAAGTTTTTACTTGGTGAAAATGCAGCTGTACACAGGCAAAAGATGATCCATGCAATAACCAAGCTGTCAGCCTCAGGGTTGCCATTGGTTTGTTTTATCAACTGGCAGAATATTTCATCACGTAGTGCAATGCGTTCTATTCCCATTTTCACTATCGTCTGCATAATTTGCATTGAAGCGTCATCCGTCATTTCATCTCGCATAACCTTCGTCAATTCCTGAAAAGAGAAAAAAACAACAAATGTAAGCCTTTGAACCTATCATGGTGGGATATCACATTCACAGTTAACAGATGGTTGAGGGTCCAAAACATCAGTATCTTGCAGACAATCTAACCAGCAAAACAAACTTTTTAGGAAAGATGTGTGATAGATTCCATGACATGAAATAGTAATACACTGTAGCTCACCTGGATATGTAATTACAGTTAAACATTTAGTAATGTATTTGCCTTGCAGAGGTCCTTGCATTTCTTTGATAACAGAACCAATAAACAAGAGGCTTTAATGTCTAATATTTACATTTTTATATTGAATGAAATTTTAAAATGCCCCTGAATTGAAACAAAGAGTCCTTAGAAAAAGACAAATCCTGTCGGCCCCCACAAATTCGAAAGTACAAATCATAAGAAACATTTCTAAATAGCAAAGATACTGGTAAAGACAATGTTCTCTTCAACAAATTAAGCTGTTAGCATCGGGGGGAACAAGAACATTAAGGTTTAGTTTTACTACTTAAGTTGCTTCGAAAGAGATTAGGGGCAGTGGGTTACCCTAGTGGGTAAAGCGTTCGCTCGTCACGCTGAAGACCAGGGTATTGTTCGATTCCCCACATGGGTACAATGTGTGAAGATCATTTCTGGTGTCCCCTGACGTGATATTGCTAGAATATTGCTAAAGCCGCGTAAAACAATACTCACTCAAAAGAGATGATGTTTACAGTGTAAGGTCAAATTTAGGTCAAAATGTAAAATATTGCAACAGACCAAATTTACATTTAATTTTGAAAAAAATATGATTGAGTAATGGTTATAAAAAGTGCAAAGGCCAAATCAAGGTCATAGGAATACAAATATATAATTTGCAGAAAAAAATTAAATGTTTGAAGAATAACATGCAGAGCACATATCATAATATAGGGGACAGTGCCAGAGTACATGTTCATCTTCTAAAACAGAGAATTCAATACGAAGCATGTCCCTATTTAGTACAGTACATAAACCTTTCCTAAGTTTCTGAATGCCTAATGCATTATACCCGTACCCACTACTTCTATGTCATATATATATTCTTCTTTTTTCATATCACTTTTCAAAGTCAACCAACATCTTGAGCAATCCATACCTCGCCAAATCCATAAAAGCAGATTTCTAATATGTGTAGCCCAATTTGAGTACGTTCTATTGCAGGTTTGTTTGAGCATATCATAGCATTGCAAAGGATACCTCTCACGTGGCATTGAAATCAGACGGAGCCAATATCCGATGCAATTCACTTAACGGGTGATTTAAAGGGACTCTCCCACAGTCACCAGTCGTTCTTCTTCAGAAGTTCCATACTCTATTACTGGGTGAAAACAACCAACTTCGGGGCTATGCGCTATTAATTTTCATGTTGATAGTTAGCACACACTGGAAAGGCTTAGGAAGTAAAATACTATTAGTATCTGAAATGGTTAAGGATAGTTGACAGAAATACAGGACTTCTTGCACTGATGTATTCAGGGTTTTGGATTTGTAGGATTTATAGTTGGTTTGCCTTTAACCAGGTGATTCAGTTTAAATATCCAACTTATCACACTAATTTATTCATATACATACCTTGAACACATTGCAAGCCATAGTGATGTTTTCACAGTCGTGTAAATGAACAAGTGAAGTTGGAATGAGACCTGACTTGCAGAATGTAAGCATTTCCCCTTTTGTCAGACGATCCTAGAATATAGAAGTACATTCGAAGTTAAGATAAAAAGAACAAATTTTGATTGACATGTATTCCAGATTGATCAACATTTCACAATTGATCCCAAGCCAGGTCATCCCTCTGACAGCTAATCCTCTTGGCAGCCAGAGTGGGTGAGTGAGTGAGTTGGTTGGGTTTAACACCGCTTTTAGCATTATTTCAGTTATATCATGGTGTGTCAGCTTAATGTGGGAGGAAAGCCAGGTCTTGGACGTTTACCACTTCGGTGAAACCCACAACCTAGAAACACAATCAGGGCGAACCGGGGTTCGAACCCACAATCATAGGTTTCTGGCGTGCCCAAGGCACGTAACTCTGCACAGCGCATTGCGGCGCCTTAGACAACTGGGCCACCCGTGCCCTCCTTGGCAGCCAATCATGAACTTCTATGCTATGCCATATGTTATGAAGCATGTTTTATGAAGCAGTCAGCAATTTCAAGGATGTCTCAGTGACCTGAAAACAATGGATTCCGCACCAGGACCACCTCATCTCCATCTTTATTATGTCTTGTGGTATTTGACTTTTTCTTATGTATTTAAAAATTGTACATTATTAATCCTGTCCAATTGAAAAGCCCCTGTCATATAGCTGAAATCATATATTGTATGATGCGTAACATGTTTCTAGTTTTTACGCTGCGACTAAATTTTTTCCAAAGTAAGTATCGAAAATAACCAAAATATTACATACATGTATTTCAAAATACAAAACAATGAAACCTTGTACATGCACAATGATTTTGAATCCAGTAACACTTCTTATTTATTCATTCTAGCCTGGTTTCATTTTAATTCTTGAAATGATTAATTGAAAACAGATATGGGCCTTGATTTGAAAACTCAAAAATATATTTTTGAAAATACTTCTTCAGTAATGCTTACATGCATTCTAGATAATTATTTGCTTTCCAAATAGGTTTGGTGTTGTTCAGAATAAATATGATCACAGGAATGCTTCACTCTCAAATGATGTGTACAGACACTACCATGATCACCTGGAAATTTATGTCAAAGCTGCAACAATTCAATGAAACAATACATTGATTACTATCTGTGTAGTATCTGCAAACATAAAATAGCTACGGGATAACTCGCAAAGAACAATGAAGAACAGCGTGTTTTATTTCACGAAAAAACATTGATCTATCATGACGTCATTTCTGAAGATTCAAACATGCGCTCGCAACTTGATGATGTATATTTGACGACGTTTTTTTTAAGAGGGGAGTGTCCAGTGAGTTTTTCCCCATAGATGTAGCTGGGCAAAGCAGAACGATCGTATCCAGAAGTGGGAGAGATATGACAGTCAGGATTGGGAGAAAAAGGTACAGGAAATCAACGCGAGGATTGTGAGAATATGCAGGAAATACCCCCTGCAGCGTTTTATTCTATGATAAACAACTCTCACTCATCGTTTATTTCTTAAACATAATGTAGTAAATCACAGAACTGTTATCATGGCCACGGAACATGTCTGAACATGTTTCCTCATAAAGCAAACAGAACGAGGGGAAGTTTGTCAGATATATTATTCTCACACATGATGGAAAATTGGACATGGACCTCTTGAACAAATATAAGTGTCATCATTGGTGGGAACATGCCAAGTTTCCGTTTTATCAACAGAGTGGATTTAGAGAAGATGTTTACAAGGTACAATGTACAACAGATGCCAGACAAACAGGCCACAACCAATGTCAAGTGGGATAAATGTACTCTGAGCATATAACATACTTACTGCATCAGACTGTCTTCGTTTCTTCAAACTTTTTATAAGTGTTCCCCCGCTATCTTTGATGTGTGAATTGAAGTACCTTCCAGCGTACTCCAAAATATCATGAATGATGTCACCCTCTCCACTGGAGCTGTGTTTGTCGAAAGCATCAGGGGTCTGTGAGCGAATCGTGTCTACAGAATGTTGTTGCATAAGTCTAGAAAGTTTTTCCTCTGTTTCAGGGGAAAGTTCAGTTACTTCGTTACCATGAGGTTCATACTCACTAAAACCAATCTGAAACGGCAACGTCATTTCTTCCTTGTCACGCGGTGGTGAAACTGACCGAGACGTCAAAGTTGATCCCCTACGAGGTGGTGGTGGTGGTGGAGGAGGAGGTGGATTTGACGAAAAGATTTGACCACTATGACCAATTTCTTGATAAACACTCGACCCATCAATGTCTGTCTTCCAAACACTTTCATTTCCTTCTGTTTTGGGGGGAAGCAGCTCATCTGTTCCAGGAGAAGATGGTGGATCTGGTAGTCTGACATCTTCAGAAATTTGATCTAAAGGTGGAGGTGGGGGCGGTGGTATAGTTGGTGGTGGAGGCATACATATTGAAGACACCATTTCATCATTTGTGGATGGTAGAGCAGGTGGTGGAGGTGGCAAAGATGATAGTTCATTTCTGTCATCTGCGAACACATGTTCCTTTTTCTCACGCGGTGATCTGCTGTCATCAAATTCAGCAATAGATTTATCCACCTCAGCCAGTGCTTGTTGGATTTCATGGTCATGCAATAACTTCTCTGCCGATTCCTTAAAAAAAGAAGAAGATTAAAGTAAAATATTATTCATGGTTATAAGACAGATAATCCTAGTAATGCTGGTCATGCAAAGATAATACCCTTTGAAAGTGACTTACATTTATTTAAAGATGTTGCTGTCAGCATAAATTTTCTATATGAAATAAGGAACAATGGAAATTATGAAACAAGTTCATTTTAACACTGCCTTCCAATGTACAACAGTGGATGAATGTTAGGTATATTACATTATGACTATTTCATTCAAAACACAGAATAATCTGTGAGGCTTGTGCCGTCATACAACCACTTCAAAATAGTACTATGGCACTGTCGCTCACAAGGTATAATCAAAGAGAGGCAAATGTTTATATCAATAAAATCTAGTACTCCTGGTAAACTTTTCTGCGCGTGGATCTGAGGACAACATGAGGACATGCCAGGGGAACATTTTAATGAGTCAATCAGTGCCGAGGATTCTAAATTCTCAGTATGAGTAAGCAGAGCATTCAAACAAGTATATCTGATTCCTGTATCTCAAAATGAATATAATCGAAGAATTCCAACTGCCAAAAAAAATGAAGTCACAATATCATTGTTGTGGATATTTCATACATCCTGTCGTTTCTGAGCATCTACACCATGTACTAGTGAGGGTATATTTCTGTTCTGTTGTCATTTCTGTTTGCTTGGCTTATAATTACCAAATTGAGGTGTTAAAGAAATTAACCTGAATCATTTTAGAATGGTGATATCGGACTGGTTTAAGAACCTACACATATTTCAATGAGATTGGTGGTTGAAGTTTGCTCAAGTCCACCTGACATGACCTCTGGAAGTGTCAGATCTTAACGCAGAGAAAAGGTTACCGTCATTGTGAAAGCATACAAACACGCTTCTATTTTTTTTTAGCTGAAATAAACGAAAAAGGTATGCTGATTCGCGTAAAATTTTGCGTGGAATGATTGTTTATCATCTGTTATCAACTCGCTGTTGTTCGTGGAAGCGGAAAACACACAGTTTTGTAAGTATAAATAATACAGCAGATCCATATTGTCGAATTGTCGTAAGCTCCTACGACAGGTCCGACCCTGTCTTAATTTTTCTCATAAACTTGAGATAACTTTACGTTAAGACACCTTCAAGAATAGACTTAGCTAAAATGTTTTTCGCTACGACACCTTTTCGTCAATCTTAGCGCTAAGACAGCTTTGTGAATAGGCTCCGTCTCTGGAAACAAGCACTACCCACATTTTCAGTAAACAACCAACTTGCCAGCATTAAAACATTAAAAAATATAAAAATATAACTCCCAAATCATCTAAAGGTACCAGTTCACGACAAGACTGATTTGTAGAATAAAAAGACAACTATACTTGAGCATCAATGAGGAGAGAACCAAGGACATCAAATTCCTCGTTAATCTCATGTAGCGCCTCCGTCTTGTCCACAACAACAGCAGCTTTTCGCTCTGCCTTTTCCTCCTGCAGGAATTCAAACATGCTGTCAAGGTCAAGACTGTGAGGTGTTACTGCAGGCTGATGGTGGGTCCACATTGACTCAATCAATGTTGTCAAGGACTCTAATTCCACCTGTGATTCCCTGCAAGAAAACAAAGACTTCATAAGATCTATGAACTAGCACTAAAAAATATTGAATGTTTTCAATGACAGGAAACCATTTAGCTGAAAGTTTAAAGTAGGGAGTTTTGCATTTTGTCAGAATAAAATTCAGCCATACAATCTTTTTCATTGTCTGAGATTGTTCTCATTACATTGAAAGTTTGTAAGTCATTAACACGTTGACTGTTGATGCAAGTGCTATAAACTAGTTATACAGCATGTTTTTTTACACTTGTTTTGATGCCTTTTATAAAACTGAATCTAATTAGGGACAAACATTGACCAAGAGTTTCAGACTATTTCAGTCTACTGTACCTGAGAAAAAGTTAACTAGACAATTGTATGCATTTCTTGATAAAAAAGCAGCAGCAGCCCAATCAGGGCCCTTTACATGTACAGGAATTTATACTATTCATTAGGGCTGGGACGATACACCAACTGTGCGATCTGATACGTATCACGATACTTGTAAGTGCTCTTATCTGTGGTGTGTAAGCCATCTTTTTCATAGACAGGATAGTCAAATACCTGGCACACTGACGATTTACAGCTCCACAGTTATGTAGTTCAGAAAATAGTAAGTACTGTCCATTTGCTAAAAACATCTCTTGATGACGTCTACCAATGAACAGTGAATAGACCCTTGATCGTGCATGCCAGGTTCCAATCTTGCATGTTGGTTTGCAGATTGTCCTGCACCAGAATGCCATTGTGTTCTTAGTGACCTCGGTTTGGCTCCAATACGCCAGCAGAACAGCCTCTTCCACTGCTTCTATATACTAACTAGACCTTGCCACAAGTAGTGCATGAACTGGGCAGAACTGATAACAGTGGCGAAAACATGAAACTTTGATCGATCTCCCCAGTTGCTTGTGTTTGACATCAGGCTGTCAAATTTTCACTGGGTTAAATACAAGGTCTGGATTTTCCCAACAAGCAAGCTGCCATACCCAAGTCTATCACTACTAAAAAGTTGATTGGGTTAAAGACTGTAAATCCATCTGCTCTATCAGTTCATATGGCTGTCATTCCAAACCTGTGGGACTACTCTTACGTCCCATGAGGGAAATCTGAAGCGCTTCTTTTGACCTTCAAGTCTGAATCTCCTCAGCATGGCTGTTGTCTCTGGCACAGTGCTGGACCTAGGAAATGCTGGAAGAGAGTTTATGGACGTCTTTATTACTTATGCTTGCCTGATTGTTTTCTGAATGGAGTGCTCTTCTGCTTGCATTCGCAGTTGTTGTTCTTCTTCACGCCTTCTCTTTTCCTCAAGTCTTTTCTTTTCCTCAAGTCTTTTCTCTTCTCGTAACATGTGTGCTGTACGCCTTGCCAGAACACCACGCATATAGCTCTGAGGTAAAAAGATTCAAAAGCAAGAAATTAGCATATATGAAACCTCATATCCCTGAGGATTTAAACTTGACGGAACATGTAGACTATTCACTTTGCAGAACTTGCGATTTCACTGACTAGTCATCAGTCCAATTTGTCCAACATTCATATGACCAAAAAAGTGAAATGTTTGTGCTGAATACTTTCTATGTATTGTCTGTCAAGGAAGGCTTGTATGAAATGAATGCTACACAAGAAGACCTGAGATGATAATTGAAATAAAACATGCATGTTTGTTTTCATGAATACTTTATGTATGACTGTTGATAATTAAATTAATTTCATGTCATATCTTTGTGGTGTTTACTATTCACAACCAGCATCTTTCACAAACACTGTGGATACTATTCCAACGTTTACTTAGGGAGGTCATGGGGTCTCACTGGCATCTTAATAATTTTGTATCAGCCGAATTCAGCAACATCAATCTTGGGAAACCAGTATCTATCACTCTTGGCAAATCACATTCAAAATTGCAAACTTGGGTGGTGCTACAAATATTTAGAATCCCTACAATATGGACAATATTTGAAAGAGTATTTGTTCGAACTTCTTGGTTGTTAACACCGCATTCAGCAATATTACAGGCTATGTGAGGGCGGTCTGTAAATAATCAAGTTGGGACCAGACAATCCAGTGATTGACATCATGAGCTTTGATCCACGCTATTGGGATACAACATGCAGCAATCAAGTCAGCAAACCTGACCACCCGATCCTGTTAGTAGCCTCTTACGACAAGCTTAGTTGCCTGTTGCGGCAAGTATGTGTTGTTGAAGACCTATTCATGGGTTTCCATTGACCATGATTAATGTTCTATTGTGGACACTGGCTCACCTCATAGTGAAAAGGTAAGCAACTCCTATATGTTTTAAGGGATTTGTTCCATGCCAATCATCTTGGCAAAAGGTCATTGCATACGGTTTATGGTTTATGTTCTCTGCAAATAAGCTTCTTTGATTGGCTAAATATGGTACAACATAGTTCAGATTTACCATGATTGTTACACATGCAAAATACATGGAGATGGCAATTTCAAAGCAATGATATATAACAGCAGCATACTGGATACCTGAATGGTGACAGCAGCTTTCCTTTTCCTCAAAAACGCCAGTCGGCTTCGAAAGCATCGAAAGTTGAATTGCAGAATCAACACAGCATGTTTTTTCTCCAAAAACGCTGTAACATAAAGGGATAAAACATATACCACATAGTAAGACCATTAAACCCATACGCTTAAAGCGGCATTTGCAGTAGGAACTAAAACACTCTTCATGGGCAGAGCTTATACGAGTGATCTGACTGGTCAATATGACATGATAACACAAATGTCATTGGTTAATGCATAAACCGGTGATGAGAAGACATGACATGTTAACACCAACCCACGTGGGCCGTTCGACAACAAGGATGTAAGTCTTAATGGTAATAAAACTCAAACCATTCCAAGACTTTTCAACAAACACGTAGGTCTTTGGGTTCAAAATCTACCTGCCATGTCGTCTTCACATCTTCAAAAAAATGTTACTGTGGAATGTCTACAATTTATGTTTTCATTCCAGTCCAACACACACAAATTAGTCCTGCACTTGTATTCTCTGGACGAGAATGAAATACGTTTGTCGTGATGAATAGGAGCAGTGAACAATTTACCAAAGTGACAGGACAAACTGAAATATGAAAACTTTATATATCTCTTCAGAATGGAGATGGGGAACTCAGATAAAAATATGGACAGCCTTACATACTTCGAAAAGATGGTCAGATAAATATTTGTTCTCACTAGTAATTCTGTCATGTGTGTGAACATGGATTTCAACATTACTTTCATCAAATTTATTCATGTCGCTGGCTACAGGGATCATCCTCTCTTGTAACTACTTTGGCATGAACACATTTTTTGGTTTCGCAGCTCAAAGCAACAATGTCGCTCTCAACTTAATTTTTTCTCCATCCATGACGGAGCATCTGAAATATTGTCAATGCCTCGACAATCTTCCTGGTCAAATAATTTCAACAATGGAACACTCACAGCCACATTCACGGCGTCATCACAAGATTCCTTAAACACACACCCCATGTGATCAGGTTTATGACCTTGGGATGAATAAATAAATTTGCATTTTTAAGTAAAGAACTGTTTTCGTTAATACTATGATAAAAACATGCTGTACATAGTATTTTGGGATTGCTTCTAAAACTATTTTTGCCCCCAATCGACCACGCTATCTCCTTGCAATCATGCCCCGAACATGCATCGGAATTAGATAACTGCTTACGCCAACTGTCAAGTATTTGCAAGTTCATTTGTCTTCAATATGAGCAACAAAACACTTTTTGTGATGCTTAATTTGGCGAAGAGTTGTTCAAAATTATCAGGCACCAATGGTGTTAGGGGAGCATCAGTTGAAGGTGCAAGCATTAGGCCAGACACAGACAGATGTGGCAGGGAAGCAGGCTAGCGGCACACCAGAGCAGTAGCACTAGCAGGAGCAGGGGCCAGACCAGGTGCAGGCAGCGTCGATGTGAAGGGTGCAGCTGCATGCACCATATATGCAGCTTCAAAACTGAAGGAAGTGGGGGTTAAGACATTTGGCAGCCTGCTAACCATAGAGAAAACCAGAGAGGAGGTAGTACCTGTAGACACAGCAATACTATGTTGTAATTGCTGCTGCATACAGCGCTAGAGCAAGCGCCTGAAACACCAAAAACTGAGTTACGGACAGGTTTTGGCACTCAACACACTGGTCACCTGTATGACTTATAACCAATATTTTGATATCAAAGTAGAGTTTCCATCATAAAGGCAGGAACAGGGTCCTGATCCTGCTTTGGTCTTGTGGTTTTGAGAATTAAAAGTTTTTCTATTTCATTCCACATTCCCTGAAGTTTCAGATTCATCGTGCCTGTCAATTCAGAGAAGATATTAAAAGTTAAGGGATGGACAGAAGATGGAATAAAAGACAATACCATGAAGTGGCCTGGTGAGGTAAAAGAACACAACATTGCTCCAAGACAAAAGCTAAAGATAATGATGTTCAGCCATGTAACGAAAATATACTACTCAAAACAAGTTAAGGAACACCCAATTCTTTCATATTACTACAGTTATATAGTCATGACATGACAGATTAACTATAGTAAAATGAAAGAATATGTGTTCTCTAACTTCTTTTGATTAGTATAGTTCAGATTGACAAGCGAGAGTGAAAAGGTGAATCTTTCACTTTGTATTATGAGGAGAGCAAATCTAACCTTTCCTGAGCCAGAATCCACGCCAGTGCTTCTGGATGCATATCACTTTGATTGTTAAGAACTGGAAACGAAGATCCTCCAATGGTTCCAAAACACTGTTTCGCATGAAAACCTAAAGAAAAAACTTAACTCATTAATGAAAGATCAAGGATCTTGTTCTGGAATACTTGTTCTAAGATGCTCTGCTAAAAGATAAAAGGCTCGGACTGCAAATTATCTTGTGACAAAGTACACTTTTTGAGTTACGTCATAACGGCTTGTCGCCACAATGCTGTTCAGTCTAACTCCCCCTTTAACAAACTTATCCTTGGTAACATCCTTTTTTCATGGCGGATCCACATCAATTATCAATCAGTGAACTAGTTTCTTTAAACTTGTAGAATAATTAATTGTTATTACCTGGGGGTAAGATGAGCTGAAATTGAGTTTAATGTTGTGTCCAAGGGTTATTGCACTCATATAGCAACGTGTTATTACCTTGGAAGAAATTTAGCAATATGATGTCAACCATCTTTTATGCAGCGGGGTTTTCCCAAACATATTCAAACCACCGTGTTCATGCCACCGCTGCCACAAAGCTGCCTCAGGGGGCACTGGTTCCGTAGGAATTATGCATCTCGACACAGGCATGAGCACAATCTCATTAAAATCAGATCTTAGTTCTCACTATCGCCAAACAAAGATCTGAGGACATCCAATTATGGGTTACGTCAGAACGACCTTTCATCCGACCAATCAAAGCATCGCTTACCAGATATTGAAAGTGACAGTCAGAATGTGTTTTCTAATCATGCAACCTTGAAAACATTAACACAGGGTATTCCGAACGACAGTTACGGCCCGTAGGACTGTTTCCGTCAAAATTATCCTCTATCTCTCGCTTCCGTGGGATAAACATTTGAATGGAGGAGGCGTTGCACAGTACATGGGAAGCACTGCCATACAATCTCAACCATATATCAGACATTCCGGAATGTTTTTTTTTTTCAGTTTTCAAAATTTTAATCGAGAAATGTGTCAACATATTTTTCAAGAGTAGTCTGAAATGTCGCCAGGCTGAAACGAGTGAAGTAAAGCTCGAGAAAGCTGCTTTCTAATTGGCTGATGTAGACTTCTTGTTAGTTGTTTCGGTGGTTGTCAAAGTTCGCTAAAGGTCGTTCTGACATGACCCTAATGGGATGCATTAGGTAAAATAATTTACATCTATTTATGTATCATACACATTTTCTGGGGGTCGTCAGTATGATTTGTTGTTTGTGGGGAAAAATCATTTTAATTTAATTCTATATAAAGAGCATGAGTATTAAAACGTTGTAAGAAATGGATCAATACAATAACACCTCTGATGATTCATAGTACTAATGATGGACACATGTTAAAAGGTACGTATATAATGCGTGTCCAATGCCGGATACCACGGATCTCGTATCCCGCAAGGTATCTGCCACCGGATACCAGGATGCGTTTTGGGTAAGTGTACGGAGGTATTCGGAAGGAATCCGGATACCGGAAACGTCATTTTTTTGCTGTGTACAGAATAATTTGGATAAATCCTCATTTTAAACCCTGATGACTGGTATGTATTTTGCAACTGAGTAAAAGTTGGTTGAGAGATGCAAAGTAGATTATCATTTGTAAGAATTCTAAAAGATATTGTCAGAATTTTAAAAAATTGAAATTAGAATTAAGTAGAAATGTTGATATAAATAACATTAAAAATCAGTTTTTTATTCTGCACATTATTCTTTCCTCAATTACTAGTGAAGGCATTTCTGTGACAAAGGATATTCGTGTGTTGCATATGTAGACATGTTGAATGCTGCAATAGTTAAGGACTTGTGGGAAATAACACAAAGGCTGTTTAATAAAGAGAGTTATTTCATTGATGCAAGTTACCCAGAATGACTTGTTTTCTGATGTAGGAAAAGCTGTGGCAATATACCGTTATCAAGGCGGTTTTCTCATTCTCTTCCATCATGTCAGTTCAGTTGAATATTGTTAGTTTAGAATAGCATCATTTGCACAATCACTACAAAACAAGTGCTAGTTAAAAATATTCAGTAGTTAACAAGTGGTTTTGAATAAAGGTGCATCAGGGAAACATTTCAGATTGGCTCCATCTTTACATTCCACAAGATGTCGCAGCTCACAATGAGCAAGGAAACAGGGAGAAGTTTTATTCAACGCTCTTTGAAAGAAAAAACATAAAAAGATTGCAGCTGTTGTGTCATTTTGGGCTTTTTTTGTTTGTTTGTTTGTTGTTTAATGCCACACTCAGCAATATTTCAGCTTTATGACGGTCTGTAAATAATCGAGTCTGGACCAGACAATCCAGTGATTGACATCATGAGCATTGATCCACGCAATTGGGATACGATGACATGCATCAACCAAGTCAGTGAGCCTGACCATCTAAGTGCATTAGTCGCCTCTTAAGACAAGCATAGTCGCCTGGGATTAATTCAAACATTAAGCTTTACAGACAACAGGATACGAGTGAAATACTGATCAAAGTGGCATGAAACCACACTCGCCCACAATAAGATTATTCCCTGGGATATTGGACCTTTTATCCTACCTTATTCATATGTATTCATTATATATTTTAGTATACCGTATTCGACTTAATAAACACTCACGGCGATATTTGCTAATATATTGGCTAGTGAACAATCCCAATTAGCACCCGTTCCGATTGATCAATGTACACAATACTTATTTATTTGTGTATAACACACACTCGTGTGTTATATGCACTCTTAATTATGGGCAATTAAATTCTGGAAAAATATCTCTGTCATATATATACATTTCGGGCTAAACCACGAAATTTACGATCTCACCAAAATTTATTCTTATAAGAGCCCCCTACTTCTAATTTTGATAGCACCCTTATTACATCAAATACGGTATGTTTCTTCATAGTACTTTCTGGTTTAATTGCTTTATACAAAAGTACTGACCTTTGTGATGCCAATTTGACATTCGGTTTTTGGCAAATTCAATTCTTCCAAAATAGTCTTCACATGGCTTCTTGGTTCCCCTTCTTCCAGATGCGAGGAACTTGTGCCAATCAGCAGCCCATACTTCTGCAGGAATGTTGTGATATTCATATGAACCGGGTACCCCTTGCAAAAGAATGCAGAAAAACTTTAGTAACAAGACAGAGATTGTGATTAAGCCATGTTTCTTGTCCCATAACCTGTTTTATTGAAATCATTCATTACTTTTTCTAACTTCTAAATTCATTTTAGAATTATCCTTCAGGTATCATATTAAAGATAACATATGTGTTTTAAAATGCCTCTCAGTAGCAAAACTATACTCACCACCAAAAGAAAAACGGATACAATACATGTTGGTTAATATATGAAGACTTACATTTTATCAAGAGATATTAGATTGGTTTGATGCACAAACGAACATACTGGTATATTTGTAACAACTTTGGATTTGGGTGCAATAATATTTATTGAACTAAATGACATACCGGGGTAGTGAAATACAAAACTTTGGCAAAAAAACAAATCCAAATCACCAAAAGGCACCAGTTCCCCACTAGGCTGACATGCATAGCAGTTTCAACATCTGATGCTGACACAAGAAATAAAAAACATAGAAAATTTTGCAGAACATGAAATATTGACCTGATAATATATGGACATCTCATGACATGTGCATAGTGTACCTGGGCAAGATAACAGGAGACAAACAGGATATCAGATGCTGACACAAGGCAATACAAACATGGGGCCGGGGTGCTTATTTTTCAGCAGGGCACAGCAGCCAGCCAATATGGTATGTACTGTACTTTCTTGAGTATTGTGCACACCCAAGTATAATGCCCATCCCCCTCTAGGGGATTCAGTATTTTGGAGAAAATTATTTTTTCAAGTAATATGCACAGAAAATAATTACACTGTACCACTTCAGCGAATTCAGGTAAACGAACAGGTGATAAAAAACTTGGTCAGTACAAATTTGAAATTTGAGATAAAAAAAATCACCAGACATATTGATTTATCATTTAAAGTGTATTTTCTGTTCTGCTAGGCATTGTTTTACATGCAGAGATAAAGATTATCTTGTGTATTTTTCTTAAACTGGTAATTTCTTACCTCCCTCTTTATTCTGATGATGTCAAGCATCCCGGAATAACGGAGCTGGGTAAGTACTTCATCATCAACAAACTCACTAGCCTTTTTCATAGCATTGGGTTTCAAGCAGCGCACATACCTGTAATATGACAAAACTATTCAAAAGAAAGCATGAAATAGTCACATACCCAGTCAATAATAGTATGTTATACTGAGTGCATGACTAAAGTTCCTGAAAACAAGAGCTTAGACTTGGAATCAATGACTTTCAAAGCCTTTTCTTATCACACATTATTACATGTACATGTACTATATTGCTGAGCGACTGATGTAAGGGAAGTAACTCTAATGATTTACTATTCAGTGACTCGCCAATATATTTCTGATATCCAAATATTTTATACATAGAGAATTAAGAATTGACAAACTGATAAACATGAACAAGTAAAACATTTCAACAATGCATCTTGTTTTGTAACAAAACTTTTCATCAATTTCTTTCTTAAAGAGGAGTGAGTGAGTGAGTATGGTTTTAGGTTGCTTTTAGCAATATTCCAGCAATATCACGGCGGTGGACATGGGCTTCACACATTGTACCTATGTGGGGAATTGAACCCGGGTCTTCAGGGTAACGAGCGAATGCTTTAACCGCTAGACTACCCGACAACCCCTTCTTAAAGAGGAACTTATTTAATCTAGATTTCATACCAGAGCATTTGTTTGTTTGTTGTTTAACGCCACACTCAGCATTTCAGTATTCTAACTATATATTAGCGGTCTGTAATTAATTAAATCTGCACCAGACAATCCAGTGATTGACATGAGTATTGATCTACGCAATTGGGATACGATGACATGCATGGACTAAGTCAGCAAGCATGACCACCCGATCCCGTTAGTCACTACATATGACAAGCATAGTCACCTCTTATGGCAAGCATGGGTTGCTGAAGACCTATTCTATCCTGGATCTTCACAGGTCCATAACAGTACAACCTTATTATGGTAACATTTATGCCAAGTTCGAGCAAAACAACATCAACAGATTTTGAATAAAAAAGATAAATGTTTTCTTTTCAACAAAGTCTGTGTCTACACAATTATTTATGCCCTTAATGACACCTTGAATCTTCTCACATCCTTTCTCGTATACACAGAGGTTCAGCTTTCTAAGCCTAATACTCTTGAGATTAAAGTTTTGAAAAAATATCAAGAAAAATCCGTAGAATATTAACAAGGTATGTCATGAACAAGAGAAGAAGCAGACATGCCAAAAATTCAGTTTCGTAATCCAGCAGTTTTGGATAAGATGATTTTAACGCCGCCAAACCTGCATCTAAAGAGAATGGTCAAACCAAGCTCGTACTTGTTCATTAAACTAAAACTAAAACTTAACATATATTCTCAGCCCCACTGCATATAAAGCAAATTTTATTTGACTTTAAGTATTGGCCAAAACATAGCAAAAGTCAACGGCTGCAACTGAATCAGAAATCGGTATCAGCTAAAAACTATCATGCACAATAAGTTATTTGATAAACTACATGCTTGCTTGCTGCATGGCAACTTTCATAATGATATATGCAGAAATGGCTTGAGTAAAAGTGACATTTTCGAAAATCCAAAATGCATGTTCTGTCGTGTGAGCCAAATAATTATTTGCAAAGAAGATGTCAAATTGGCCTTGAACATTTTCATCAAATATTAAGCTCTCAAACCCTCATGTCTCTGAGAAGCTTCTAAAAAAAATTCAAAGTATAAACTTTTTCCATTTCTAGAAAAGATGTGTTTCTTTTATTTTCTGGCAACACCAAGTGAATGCCTCTCACTTCTTCATTCACCAACTGTCAAGAATAAAAACAAAGACAGAATAGATAAAAAAAACCTAAATGACAATAATATTAATTATGATATTAATAATGGGTGAAGCATGTTTTACTTACCAAGGATTAGTGAGAGCTAAAACATCAACAAGGGCAGATAACTGATGCTTGAAGGTATCCCCAACAGTTGGTTTATTACGAGCAGTGCGGGATATTGTTTGTCTTCCATCAAGTATTTCTAACCTCACTCCAAGAAGATCCTGTCAAACAAAATTCATCTCCTTTGTAGTAGCCTCAAAATCAGCACAGTGAAAGATGGTTTCATTACATGCAAAAACAGAAGCCGTCCCATCCCTACCTTTTTCCTGCCTAAAACTATTCTACCAAATTTACTACCCAGGTATCTGACCCCCTATCACCCGACCCTACCCGGGTACCCACTGCAGGTCTTAAGGGTTGGGAACAAAATGTCTGATTGGGAATTGTTTTACCGCAGCCCTGGCCATAACTATTTAGATACATGTATCAAACGATCAGATCATGCATACATAGAAGTTGACTGAAGCATATCTCTACTCAAACATATGCAGCAAGTCAAAAGAAATGTGTGCATCGTCAGAATGAAATGTGAACACTGGCGACATGTTGTGTAACCATTGAGCAAGAGTGAGTTTTTGTCTTAAAAAATATATCACGTGACTAACCAGGGGTCCGGGTAGTCCTGTGGGTACCCGGGTCCTACTCAGGACCCACCCGACCCAAGTACCCGAGTTACCCATCCCAGCCCTAATTCACAGTACAACTTTACAACAGAAGGTCCCATGCCAAAATTGTAAAAACAAACTCAAAAGCAGCGTCAAATAACTTTACTTGCTGTTGGGAAAACATATGCCCTCATACTACCCTACTCTAAGAAGTTATGAGCAATTTGGTCAGATGACCTTGACCTTCAATCTCAGCCATGAGCTGTCAGACAATTTTAAATAGAAAGCATATTTGGGGCACAAAGGTAATGTTACTTTGGCCTACTCCCAGCAGGCACACATTTGAGGTTGGAATTTTCTGAGGTTTCATAGTAAAAACATTGTATGAACATTGAAGAGGCCAGTGATGCTATTACTTGCACAACTTATTATGGATAGTAGACAGAGAAGAGAACATCTAAAGATTTTATGGTGTGATGACAGGTGATCTACAGGGTTTAGGCACTGACGCAATAGAGCTTTACGAATATCTTTTAAAAGGGACTGACTGTAGTTGAACCAAGTCATATTTTTTTAATTGTAAAGGGGATGGCATACACAAAATGTTCTGTGGTATAAGCTCTACTAGTCTGTGAGGTTGTGAAATTGGGTTTAACGTTGCGTCAAGATTATTGCACTTATATAGCGACGAGCATGCAGGTGTGTGTGTGTGTTTGTGTGTACTAGTCCGGACTGATGCTGATTTATAGAGCTAGCTAACTGAGATACCATGCTGCAGTCTAACCCCACTCAGATACAGTATACTCCGAGTCAAACAGTCCTTTTTTAGCTCCTTAATGCCAAGCGCCAGTCAGGGTAACAACAAGTACCATCTTTTAACATCTTTTGGTATGACGGGGATGGGGATTGAACCCCGGACCGTCCACTCTCCGGGCTGACGCTCTACCACTAGACCACGGAGGCGGTCACGAGTCAATGACAGTTGAGATGAAATGTACTCAATCTGAATGACAATACACATTTTGTACAAAATCAAAAGGAAACATACTACATAGTTAAACATTGTACCTGAAATCGGGTGAGGTCCTTCACAAATTCGCTGCTTGAGTTATGCATAAGTTCAAACAGCTGGTCCTGCTGTGTATCCTTGTTCTTGTCCAGAAAGCCTGTGGCATTATAAATAACAACACCCGCATAATGCCTGATCCCAAATTCCTGTTCCCAAACCCGCCTGTCTTGACCCTTCAGGTAGTTGTCATGGTCACCAAACTCCTGATGCTGCTTGTTGAGATAGGTCTTGTCAGTGCCCTGTATCAATTGAAACGAACAATATCATGACACAAACAGTAGTTCTCACAATTCAGTAGCTCCACAAAGTCACTTTCACCTAGAACTGTAATACTTAAAAGTTGTATTGGAATTTATGTTCAATACATTGCAACTGTCTTCATTCATCGTACTGGAATGAAACTAGAAGTCCCAAAGTATGATTGTATAAAACTAATCAACTTACAAATATTCACCAATCCTAATTTCAAGTGTTTTGGTGGAATATTTTTCATATTCAAACGTACAAATCCTGTGTCGTAATGCTAGCAAAAAAAACGGAAATCAAACCTGGTGCGCTTTGCCCGACCTCAGCATAAAATGTTGCTATTTCAATATCAACAAAGTCTTCAAATATACACCTTGGCAAAAGTTGACGTGAGAAAAACAAAAACAAAGATTGCGAAATCTGACTACAAGTTTTCAGTAAGTGCAAAGGTCACCGGATGTGATATCACAGACAGGGGTAGTCAGCTGATAATCTTTCGACATAAAATATTTACAGTAAATTTGGAAATATATCCTGTTACACCCAGAATAAACACAAATCAGTACATAATGTCAGTAAGCATTGCTCATATGAAAATTTACTATGTGACTTTGATGATATAATTTGCATATTATTAAATCTGTTTGACCTTGTATGCTCCTGTGACCTGGTAGGAGATGTATCAACAAGCCACATGCAAGTTTCTCAGTATCTTTTATTTGAAGTTTTGTTGTTACAAGGATCACCCTTTGTTGTTATATTGAATATGAAAATATGATTCATCTAACTGTGAGGTATGCTGGTGATTTTCTTTTGCAATAAAAATAATATCCGATCCAATAGATTCTACATCTAGAGATATCGCAATGACCAGCTTCCATAACAGTTGCACGAATATGGGTGTGACAAATATCGTTTAAAAATAACATTCATGCTTTCTTAAATTTGATCAGGTATTCGCATATATAAATATATTTTCCTTTTAAAGAGGTGTCCAGATAAGCAGGGTTCCACTGTATGATAAACAGTATCAGTTCAAATGAATCCTCTTCATACATTACCTTAGGAAACCTGCATTCCTCATCCAAAATCTTCATTACACATCTTGGAGCCTAAAATATAACATACGGTACATTATTATTCAAAACTGATTATTTCTAACTGATTTTAACTTCAATGTTTTAAAAACTAAGATTGAGTTCCAGTGGCAATTGCCGCCGCCACCCCCCCAAATCTCCCATGTTACCAGTGTTCACTACGAGGAAGTAGATCACCATGAACACCTTTGAATAAAAATTTGATTCAGGAGTTACATAAGAAGGATTATTAAAAGGACCAAAAACTTCTTGATATAAAAACACATAAAAAATGGAACAATATCATATAAGAAAATCAATACATTAATAATTTCCATCTAGTCTTAACAGATATGGTAAAGAATTCATAAATTCAAACTAACACAAAGCACAGATACTTATGATGATCTACATGTGTGGAAACAATTTTGGAAAATATATTAGCTATACAAAACCAGTCATCAAAATTTCTAAATTCCATCATGTTTCCATGAAAACAGCAAAAGAGAAAACTTTCAGAATCTTATAAAAGATAAAAAACAATCATAGTGGTTAATGTAGCAAGTTTGCTGAAGCTAGGATACATAATATTGTAAACATGGATCGTACAAAAACTCTACCCAAAATTTATGTTTCACCATGATTCCATGGAATCGGCAAAAATAAAAAAATTCAGAATCTTCAAACTAGCAAGAGGCACAAGTACTCATTGTGGTAAATGTGTGTAGCAAGTTTGGTGAAGCTAGGGTGCATGGTTAAAAAGATATAGGCCGTACAAAACACCCACCCTAAAAGTTTACGTTTCTTATGTTTCCATGGAAACAGCAAAAATTTAAAAATTCAGATTCATCAAACTATTTGGTGCATAGTTAAAAAGATATGTGCCGTACAAAACACCCACCCTAAAAGTTTACGTTTCTTAATGTTTCCATGGAAACAGCAAAAATTAAAAAATTCAGAATCTTCAAACGAGCAAAAGGCACAAGTACTCATTGTGGTAAATGTGTGTAGCTAGTTTGGTGAAGCTAGGGTGCATGGTTAAAAAGTTATGGGCCGTACAAAAGCTCAGACGGAAGGATGGACGGAAGGCTATATACCCCCGATTTACTTCGTAAACGGGGGTATAAAAAGCTTTTAATACACGTTAAAATACATTAAAGACATACCAACCTTTTCAATCAATTCAACACATTTGCTGTTGTCTGTGAATGTGATGTGAGAAAACTCTATTTCTTCTTCTTTATACTGGAAGAGAATCAAACGATATTGAATTAACAGTTAACTGTGTGGACTTCTTAAGAAGTATTGAAGGTTCATATCAGTCCCTTTTACAGAAATCTTATCCGAGAAGATAACAAGCAGTCTTTTGGATTTGTTCAGCAGTGGATATGTTCAACTTCTGACCACTGAAAAATAGATGATTTGATTTCAACACTCTTCATCTACAATGAATGTTACATGTGACACTGTAGAACATTGTAAAATGATTCCTGTCTGTTAACAAACAGTTATGGCTGTGTCAAAACAAAAAAAATCTCAATTCTTGTCAACAAAACTGTTGACACCTTGTTAACAAACTTATTCCAGAAAAAGAACAATGATATTATTGTTAAAATATTTTTATTTTCATAATTGTTAAGATGAAGCTGAGCTGGACCCTGCAGTAATGTCAGTGTTGTAAACAAAGCATTGTGTGCTACATGCCCTGGCTATCCTCTTTCAGACAGGAACTGACTAATCCCAATGCATCCCCATACCATTGCCCATATTTATTAATATCTAACCGGAGGGATAAAAAACTGTGGCAGAGTATCATGCGCCCAACAAACACGCAAACATCTAAACTGTGCGCCGTGCATAATCAAGTGAGTGAGTGAGTGAGTATGGTTTTACGCTGCTTTTAGCAATATTCCAGCAATATCACGGCGGGGGACACCAGAAATGGGCTTCACACATTGTACCCATGTCGGGAATCGAACACGGGTCTTCGGTGTGATGAGCTAACACTTTAACCACTAGGCTACCCGACCGCCCTGCATACGCATAATCAAGAATCTCCCATCAAGAATCAACAAATATTCAAATCAAAATAAGCTTCCTTCAGGACCCTGGGCTAGATATTCACCAATCATATGTCAGAATAATTCCCCAGGGAATTTGTAGTGTTTGCAAAGCTTAAATTTGACCAATCGCATAACTGGAGGCTTCTATTATCCTACATACCATATTATGATGACCTATACCAATACCTATTCCATACATAATCAGTGTGTCACAACAATTCATAAAACCATTATTGTTTGTTTATTCCTTGTTTAAAGTCACACTCAATATTCTCAAGATTGTGGACCAGACAATCTAATGATTGACATCATGAGCACTGATGAACGCAATTGGGATTTGATGACATGCATCAACCAAGTTAGCGAGCCTGACCACCCGATCCCATTAGTCGGCTCTTACAACAAGCATAGTCGCCTATTACGGCAAGCATGGGTTGCTGAAGACCTATTCTACACCGGATCATCACTGGTCCATAAAGCCATTACATGATATCCCATATATAGATCAGATAAAAATGGCAATGGTGGGCAAATTCTAGAAACAGTAAACTATTTGCAAGAGCAATAAAAAGGTTCGACGTGAATTTTTTGTTGCCTTCCCAGTGGATTGTTTCTTTATCTCTGCAAGGTTTGTGCATTTTCACAAGCCATAGAAATTCATTGTTATGAGAGTGAGTGAGTGAGAGAGTGAGTTGGGTTTAACGCCGCTGTTAACATTATTCCAGTTATATCACGGCATGTCAGATTAATGTGGGAGGAAAGCCCAAAGTGATGCAGGTCTCAGACGTTTACCACTTAGGTGAAACCCACGGGCACGGGTATGGTGCTGACAAACCTAGAAACATAATCGGGGTGAACCGGGATTCGAACCCACAATCGTAGGTTTCTGGCGTGTCCAGGGGACGCAACTCTGCACAGCGAATCGCGGCGCCTTAGACGACTGGGCCACCCGTGCCCCCTCATTGTTATGAGAAGCATATATATGTGTGTGTGATGACATAAATACAAATGCATACCTTCTCCTGTTCCAGTGCAAAAACATAGTGGTTGAAGAACCTGTGGAGCTTCTCGTTGGTGTAGTTTATGCATAGTTGTTCAAAACTATTTGTCTACAAAACAAAGAAAATATTGGTTACAAACAGATAAGAAAATAGGAAAATATACACTTTTAGAAAACGCTACAACAGATGCTGAGCGTAAGTGGGTGGGGTTTGAAGGTAGCCATATATCAATCATTCTAAGTGTTGTTGAATCTTAAAACAAGAATGCCAATCACTTCACACATTCTTCCTCCAAAATTAACCATATAAAGCAAAGTGCCTATTGATACTCAAATGAAATTATGCACAAGAAAATTGTTCCTCAAAGACTGTAGCCATGACACATTGCCTGTGTGGTACCTTTAATACAGAGCACATAGATGACAACTGCCGTGACAAGTCACTTGCTATCTGTCGACTCCTGAGTGAAGCCCATAGCTAGTGCTTCGAATCAAGAACTGGCTTTACCTTATCTGTTTCTGTGAGGGGTTCTGTGAGGGGTTACAGATACACGTTTAGCAAAGATATGTTCAGTCAAGTTGCTTTACTGGTAGTTTAACCTTTAGCCTGCTGAATTGTTTCAGCATAAGGTGCTGTAAAGAGGATGCACAATTTCAAACAGTCGGTGCTTCATTAAACAAGGGCCAATAAAAGGGTCTTTTTTTGGTTATAGGTATCAAAAGACGGCTCCCACAAAGGCAAATTGTAAGAGTATGTCTGTTATTTAACAGACGATACAGGTCGTAGACATTTACCACTTTGGTGAATCTGACAGCACAAGGACTTTTTTGTGTTGAAAACACAAATGATTAGAAACAGGATGAATCGGCTAACAACTAACAAACTAACAACTGAACAACGTGACTCCACATCACTGAAAACTAGGCACCTAGATCACAAGGAATGAGCCTCTAAACGAGGGCCGCGAGACAATGCAGCACTTTCATGCAAGACTGTGCATGATCTGCAATATTCAAAGATGCACATGCGAAACATTTATGGCCGCTGCTGCCATCACACTGACATGACAACTTGCAACAACATACATTTGCGTGGTCTTTTCAGCCAGATGAGTGAATAAATACTAGTTGAAGGAAGAGCAAAATAATACCAGAATGATCACATGTGTATTATACATTAAAATCATGCTATTTAAGTAGTTACCTGGAAGTTTTCAAAACCAAAGATGTCCAATATCCCAATGAATTGTGTCTGATTTGATCCCGGATTTGTACACTTGTTGATTGCATCAACCAGCCAAGCAAATGTGCGTGAATACAAAGCTTTTGCCATTGCATGTCTGTTCTCACTAGCCTGGAAAATAAATAGAAACATCAGAAATCTACTCATACTTGTGCTTTATTATCATTGTAGCTTCTAACTATCCTACTATTGTTTGTTTGTTGTTGTTTAATGTCACACTCAGCAATATTCCAGCTATATGATGGCGTTCTGTAAAATAATCGAATCTGGACCAGACAATCCAGTGATTGACATCATGAGCATCGATCCACGCAATTGGGACACAATGACATGCATCAACCAAGTCGGCAAGCCTGACCACCCAATCCTGTTAATCAACTCTTGCGACAGGTAGGGGTGACTATTGGTCTGGAGATCACCATTGCGATAACTATTGATATTGAAAGAAACTATTGCAATAACTATTGATATTGCAAGCAACGATTGCGATAAATATCGCAAGAGGTGATAAACCGGATCGGGTGGTCAGGCTCGCTGACTTGGTTCATGCATGTCATCGTATCCCAATTGCGTAGATCGAGGCTCATGATATCAATCACTGGATTGTCTGGTCCAGATTTAATTATTTACAGACCGCCGTCATATAGCTGGAATATTGCTATTATTATAGTGCGGCATTAAACAACAAATAAAACAAATCACTGTGTGGTGGTAGTGAGCACTAAGATCGGATTTAAATGAGCCTAACCTTAACATAATTAAGTAAGTAAGGATTTTCAAAGTTGATGAACTGACCAGCAACTATATTCATTTTTTTTTTACCAATTATAAAACAAATATGCAAATAAACAGAGACAGTATTAATTACCTCTTGAAACTTGAAGGGTATGCTTGTGACTGTGCCCCGGACCTGGATTTGCCGATATAATGCTGCATCTCGCAAACCATCCATTTCAAATCCTAACAGATTACAAACAATGCTCAAGATCCTGTCATCTTCTTCAGTCAAAACACTTTTCTCCCCTTCATCATCCTCAAATGACAAATTTCCAAGCAGTAAAATGGCTGACAGTACTGAAAACATTCCATTCACCATATCTGTTGAAATGTTCAGAACATTCATGGCAAGGCGCAAGTTATCAAACATGGTGGAATCATCTACTCCAGGCAGGGTGAAGCATCCACTCTGGTTCAGATATGCATACGACTGTGGTTGGCCAAGCTGGAACTGCTCTGCTACTTCAGGACAAGCCTGTGCTCCTGCAACTAACTGGTAGAAGACATGGTAGTTGCGCTCATTCGGAGACTGGAACGTGATTCTTGACTGTTCCAAGAGATAGTCTTGTACTATGCACCCTTTTATTTGACAATGCTGATCAAAGCACACCTGCATGAATTTTCCAAATCGACTAGAGTTGTCATTCCTTACAGTCTTTGCATTCCCTGAAACAGAAAGGCGCAGTAATTATTGTAACACCAACACTTCAGACTTGACACTGGTCATACATCCCTACTGACAAAAATTTGAAGTTTACGCTCCAGTTTTAGAAACTCAAAACTTATAAACCATTTTCTGAAACAGGAATTTGGTCATGTCCTTGAGGTTCCTTGCATCAGAATATGAAAATACCTTCTTTTCTTGCGCATAATGCACTTTTTGCTCAACTGAAATACAGCTGTGTAGAGGTGGGGTTTGAGCATTATATACATAGACATTACCACTATTATGTAAACCAGTAAATGAAGTGTCGACTAAAATCCATAAGATCAATTAAGCCTGCACAGTCATCCCGATTCAGAGTTTCTGATGGATTCCATGGACTCCATCCGACTGTACCTATTGAGCAATGTGTAATGTCTTCATATGCTCCAGCCTTTGCTCTGAGAATTCCTGAACGAGGGATCCCAGGGAACCAAATATTTTTTTAGAAATGTCCTGATCGCCAAACTGTATCAAGTGCTTTCTGAACATCCACAAACGAACAAATTATTTCTGTTTCCAAGCTTTTAAAAATTGAGTTGATATTAATTATACTCTCAAGACCAGTAGCTTTTTTTTTTTAAATGCTGAACAAAGTTTATGATTCACCTCTTATTTAAGCTGCATAAAGGCAAAAGAAATAAGTCTTGGTTCTCAGGCACTGTCCACATCATCATAAAGTTCATTGCATGTTTCATATTTGTTTCCATTTTCAATTTTGTTTTTGTTTTGTGTTTAAGTATTAGGATTTTTATATTTTTTTGAAAATGGAAATAAAAACAAAACGTGCGGCAGACTTCATGATGATGCAGGCGGTGCCTGAGAACCAAGACTATTATTTTTTTCAGCCCAAGTATTGCATTTTCTTCATTCTTAACACCACATAGATTATCTATATCAAAGACATCTTCTGCTGAAACTTCATTAATAGTTTTGAAATAATTGAATACTGATTCAACCCATGAGAGTAAGCATAAGCTGAAAAGGAATAAGTCGTGGTTAACAATCTTATCTGTTGGACCTGATCAAAGACATTTACGCTAAACATGACAATTACCAATAACCATGCTTGATTAAAATGTGCTAGTGATTTTGTCAATTATGTACCTCGATAAATTTTTATATCCATACAACCTCTTTCTTTGTTTAGGTTATATGGATGAACAACTTCTTTATTACAATTAGGATTTACGTTTCAGTGTAACACCATTATCAAGCAGGTGATGTACAGAGTATGGTTGACAAGCGTGTGTACAGGTAGGTGGCAGTGTTTATACAGATATACAAAAGACTTGATCATGGTTGATTGATGGTTGGAGTCGTTTGATGTCGATGGCAGTGTACCACATTCCACGTAATTGTGGACAAGCTTACATTGGCGAAACATCAAGTACCCTCAAAACCCAAATTTTTAAATCTCAGTCTCCCCAGTTGACTCTAAGTCAGCTTTTTTAGACCATAACCGTGACAACCCCAGCCACAGCATCCAGTGGGCCAAAATCAAAGCCCTTATCAGGCTTGCAACCAACCTCAAAGACTTCAAAATCAGAAAACATCAACATTGAAAGACTCAAACCATCAATCTGTCGTGATCAAGGCCATTACATACCCCTTACGTATCAACATATCAAAGACCCCAATCAGTCATAATCCTTTTGTTTGTACTCCTGACTTCACCTGAACATGTCAAACATGAGGCCAGTACAACCAAATTTGTGGCATCAATTGGTACTCTTGCCCTGGTGAAAATGTTCCCTATAATTCTCTCTAATTTCAGGTCAAATAGGAGTTCTGGAGATGCCTCCCTGGTTGCAGCATAACTATTATTTCATAGTAAACTCTATGCTTTAAGTCAAAGCATTAACCATCTTACCAAAAGACTCTAGAACTGTGTTTGCTTCCAGAATTTGCTGCTCAGTCCAGAACGATGTGTGGTTAGTCACAGAACACAGATATTGCAGGATGAACTTGGTACTCTCAGTCTGTAACACAGGACATCAGTCTATAATATATTTTATCACATATCTAATGAAACAAGCTTATGACAAAAAATGTTATTTCCCTACATCACGTTTTCGAAACACTAAACAATACGTAACCATGTGCTTAATAATATCATCAAGGTAGACTTCGAAACCCACTGAAGACATCAAAGTCTTCGCCACCTGCCGCTGAAGTTTTGTTACGAATTAAGCTGCATGAGGTAAGATAATCAATAAGTAATTAAAACATGCCTCAAAACCTACTTTTCCACAAATGCACATTTTTATCAAACTTGTTCTTAAGATAATTTTGCATCAGGACAATCGTATGCACTGCTGATGTATTGGCTGATGTGCATAAACTTCTTGTCTGTAATGTCATGTGACTGATCATGTTGTGCATCTATCTTTAACTTGACTGTAATTGAGGAGCTCCAAGTCATGTGACTGTAACATGATGGCGCCTGATCGACTTGCATTACCACTATGAAATCAACAAGACATGGTCATTTGACCATCTAAGTGTTAACAGAAATAAATGTGCTTAAAAAGGTCAGACCTAATTTTAGTGCATTGGGATTGTTATTAGACACGTAATCAGAAATACTTCTTAGGAGCACAGTACACAAGGATACATTGGGTTGCAAATAACCGAGTACATAAAAATCACATGTTGCACATGTGTCAGAAACACGAGAAGGATTAATGCCCTTGACCTCCGTGACCTCATCAAATCCGGATTATGAAATACTACCAAGGGTAAAATTCGGTTAAAACAGGACGATCTGTTTCTCTCGAATACAACGATAATCTAGGAATAAATATGACACAAGACCGACATACCGGTATTTATTTACAAACATTTATACATAAACCTGTTATTTAAAATAGACACTGAAATTGTTATAGATCTACTCTACCAATAAAAATATCAGCAGCATCGCAGACAGCAATTTTTTTTATGAGCCAAATGTGCAAAGAATTCAGAAAGTGGCCGATACAGAAATTGCTGACTTCTTAAAGGAAAATGAAAGACAATATGACATATTAATATTGACCTCCAACCTTAGCCTAAATCAAACAAAATCAGACGATTTCAAGATAATTCTCCCACGAAATTAAATGAAATACTGTCCAAATGTTTCATGAGTGCCAGAAAATGCACTGGTGACGAATATCAACCTGCTTCATTACATGAAATGCCTTCTAGTTTTGATAAGCAATTAAGAAAGCTAAATTGTGGCAGATTCCTCTGAACTGATCGCATTTTCAGGCAAATGCAAGTTGTCCTGGTGTCAAAACAAGGACAATTAAAGAAAGATGTAAAAGACAACTTGCCCAACAAATCTGAGCCCTGACAGTTGTGGAAGTAGATAAATTGTGGTCATTGGGAGAGTTGTGCAATAGTAATCCCGAAGCCATAATAAACACTCTCTGGTGACTAAATTCGATCCATTTTGGTACAAGGTCATGCCCGCATCACAGAAATTTAAGCTGCGGGGACAACAGTGTTAAAACTGAAACTGATGGTAGAGAGTATCACGAGATAGACGGACAAAAGATGCGGAAAATCCGACAAGGTATGTGGTTGCAATGTTCAAATTATACAAATCCCTCAGACCTGGGGATTATTGTATTGTTGAGAGTCCCTTCCATGTTGCCACTGCTTGCAAATGTAGGGCCCCTCCATGCCATATTTGGTTTAAGAGGCAACCAATACAAAAACAAAACAAGCTTGGAAGTATCAATAAAAAACATGGCTTCCGGAGCCGACATTACCATTGACAAACTGAAGAACTACTACAGTGCATGTACACACCTGATATAAAAGTTGTAAGACAACAACGTTGCAACAACTGACACAAGTGTGAACAATTATTCTCGCCTTTCAGATACACAACACAGGGTACAAGGCAGTCTAGTTTTCTTCACGGCAAATTTGTCATGACCATCAATCCACTGTTACTTCGGCAGCTGAAGTCTCCTCCATGAGTAGTGCACAAGTTGCATCAGTCACCAACACAAGTTGAGCATGTTGTCTGATGCTGTTCACACAATCTGTGGCAGTCTTCTATGAGGTGGGTCTTGCACATCAATGTTGGGGATTCCATGAATCCTTCCAATTCATTTGACAATGACCAAGTATCAAAATGTAGATGCATTGCTTACTTTCCAATCAGTGCTTCATCGGGTGATGAGTAAGTAGACAGTTCATGTGTACTCGCCTCATTTCGAGTTTTTTCCTTTTTTCACCCCACCTTTATTGACAATAGACAAACCACAGTTAACACATTCCCTTACATACCCTTGTGGTTAAGGGTTACTGGGATGGTAAGAATGTCCTTCTATGGTGAATGACACAATAATGAGGTGGACAGGATAGGGATTGTGCACCAGAAAAGAAGTAGGCTGTGTAGGAGGAGACAGGATAGCAAAACGTAAAGTTGAGACTTGACCATTTTTCTTTTATCTTAACACAATCTGAGGTATATATATATATTTTATTTTTTTTCTATGTTGTAATAATTTGCCACACTTCCTTGTCCTAGTTTAATGGATCAATCTCAAACCTGACAAAAAAAACTGACCTCCAGCCTACTCCAGTAATCTTTGCATAGCATTATTGATGTTTGAAATCAGGATGGTTTTACATAAAATATAGTTTATATATTTAAACGCTGATTTAATCATAAATTTGCTTTGATAAAATGCAATTTCAAGAGGCATTATTGTCAGTTATTTGAATAGTGCCGAAATGTTTCTATTCATTGGTCACTATTTTCATACGGGCACTGCTTAAAGGTGTGATTGGTTTTACAATCAAAGGGGGTCAGGATATCAATACACAAACTTCACTTTGATCTATATTTAGAATGGGTTGCCGTTTGGTCAGTGAATTTAATTCAACACACTCGCTTGTGCATTAATCTATGTACATTTCCTTCATACAAAAAAAGCATTAGTATGCAAATCTGGTAGCCAGAAACAGGATATTTTTACTATAAGCAATCCTTAAATTGTCCACATTTCTTGTGTCTACACTTGCACGTGACACAGCTGACAGAAATATTACAGTTGATCTAGTTAAACCTCAAAATCTGGTTCCAAATCAAAAAGCACTGGATTAAAATCAAAGTGACATTGTGTAAAATGTATTACTGCCCACATGACATTCTGGCCGATTTAAGTTGTGAAATAATATCAGACATAATCATATTTTGCAGAATAGGTATTCCACATCTCTGAACCAATATCAAACAAAAACACAATATCTCCAAAACTCATAAAACACCACCAAGCACCTGACAGACGAATAAATTTACTTCTGGTTTGTTAAAAAATATCATGCCAAGTTCCGTTTGTTATCAAGCCAGAACACCCCATGGCTCTAGCTACTTAAAAAGTTCATCTGGAAACAATAGGATCACAACAAAGGCATATCAAGGACTTTATCCCATCCACAATAATTGTACTGACCTTGCCAGCTCCACTTTCCCCACTGATGATACAAGACTGGTTGATGTCCGTTTCTTGAAGGTTTTGGATGGCTGCCTCTGCTATTGCGAAAATGTGAGGCTCAACCTGGCTTATCTTCTTTTTGCTGTATTCAGTGACATTTTCCTGGGAACAAAAAGCAGAGTAGGAATAATAAGATACCAATTGTGGGACATTATAGGAAATATCCTACAGCAACAGGATTCAACCTTAATTTGTTATGGTCTAGCATAGAAGGGTTTAATCACACAACAAATATCAAATTTGTATACTTTCAACAAATTTGTGTCAAGTTGTGGTAATGCAGGAACACCAATTTCAATCAACGCCTTCTTATCAAGAAGTTCCAGAGAAAAATTCTAAGAATGATAATTGCCTAAAAGGAGGCGTTGTATTAACACAATATAGTGCCAGAGCACTGTTGCTCACTTGGCTATGTAGTCCACAATTAACATTGTCAAAATTGACAGCCACTTAACAAAAGTTGTTGTCAGCATTGATATTCAAATATTTTCTACATAAATACTGAGGACAAAAGTAATAACAAATATAAAACAAGTAACTAAATTTCCACAATGTTTCTAAATATGCAAGAAAGATGCACTATTTCCAAAGATTTGAACATGTATGATGTGATCAAATGGAGAACTATACAAGCCAAAGTCCAGCTCCCTCATTCAGCCACACTACAAACCACTAATACCAAATTTCGTTACATTTTGAAAACAGATGGTTGAGTAATGGCCATCAGGTGATTGATCGATTCCAAGTCCTTGAATTTCTCTTCTTAGGGGCACTCATGCTAGTTGAAGGTGACCTGACATAACTAAAAGTTGTGTTGATAGAAGGTGGTTGAGAAAAATGGAGACCCATGTGTCATATTTTAAAGTTGACCGCTTCATTGACAGCAGCGGCAACTTATCATCCAATTTGGTGCATGAGAGATTGCCCTTTGCAGAGTACTGAAGATCGGGGGCAAAAGATTGTGGAGCAGATGGTAGAGATCCAGTGTGAGCTCCAGGAATGAGTAGTCAGGAAGAATTATTCCAGTAGGCTCACACTCTCCCAAGCTACTGGCCTCAGATACATGTCCTACACAGCCTGTTGTAGATCGGCGATAGATTCCGACTTTAGATTCTAAACAACGATCCATTTAGCTACCAAAGCAGTGGTTGAGGTTGGCTTGGATGCGACCCTAGTCGATCATGCGAGGGTCCAGGTGGGAACTGGTGTAGGGGTTGTTCACGAACCCCATCACAATGCAACACCACATCCTTCCTCCCTGGCTGGGATATGGGACAGTGCTGGTTAACCTAACAACTTGTTGGGATGACTGACAGTGAAGAGGACATCTGTTAAAAATCAATGTTTATTCGTGTGAGCCAAATTGCTGGAATTGTGGCTATGATGTAACTGAGGTAGGATACTCAGAGGAATTAAAGCCTTTTTAATATTGCTGCCATGTGGTCATTGTTGGTGGGAACAAGCATGTGAAGTTTCAGCTTCTGAAAGTAATATGTTTACAGACACCAACAGGTGCTGGACAAATTGGGATCGATGACATGCATCAACCAAGTCAGCAAGCCTGACCACCCGATCCCGTTAGTCGCCTTTTACGACAAGCATAGTCGCCTTTTACGGCAAGCATGGGTTGCTGAAGACCTATTCTACCCCGGAATCTTCACGGGTCCAAAACTTTATGAACTTGAGGACGAGGACTAAAGACTCGACAGACAACATACCTGTTCATATATCTTGATGTCTTTGTAAGGGTTGACTGACACCAGGATGGATCCAGTAAATGTCTGTTACCTTGTCAAGGAAATTGTCAAGAACAAAAAATGGCTCTGAAGCTCACCTGAATAACAATGAGTTTGGACTAAAGCCACTTTGAACATTATTTCAAATATATTACAGTGCGTCAGCTTGGGGAGGTGAGTTGAAAAAGAGTTAACGTTGCATCCAAGATTATTGCACTTATATAGCGACATGCATGCACGTTTGCGTGTCTGCTTGTACTAGCAGTTGGACTAATGCCGATTTTATACTGTGCTAGTTCACTGAGAAACCATGTCCCCTCAGACACAGTATATTGACTCCGAGCCGACCAGTCCTTGTTTTAGCCCCTATATGCTGAGCGCCAAACAGGGTAACAAGAAGTACCATCTTTTCACCTCTTTTGGTATGATCATGATGATGCAGCCAGGGATCGAGCCCTGGACCCTTCCACACCAGGGTCCCACCCAGAATAATGATGTCATTATATGGTTGAGCATTGGGGTAACAGGGGGTTTGAAAGAAAGAGACTGTACTCTGACAATCTGTAGGTCCCTTGCCCTCCCTTAACGACCAAGGCAATGGATCAGGGGTATTCTGTAACTTGGAAAAACACTGATAACATCCTAATAACATACAACATGATGCTGGTAGCATGGTTGAAGTTAGTGTGATGCCAGTGAGCTGTCCCACTGCCATAAAAGGCGGGAAGTGTGATCTTTGAAGTACCTGTTAACCTTGATAAAACAGGAAGTTTTATTACATATCATGACGTTATTAAATTGGACACGCTCAAATGGTACGGGTATATGCTTAACTGTCATATGCATATTTCAATCCCGCAAGTGGGAATAACTTTGTAATCAACCGAAATAGAGCAATGACACTTTCTGTTTCCACCTCTAACACAGTTTTCTAAAAGCAGGAAGGATGTAATAAGACCAGACGTATTTATTTCCAAAACCTAAGTGACATAATGATATGTAGAAGTTTGGTGCAGTATATTTGTTTAGTGTATAACAATAACAGAAGACATGCAAATGGACCTCCATGTACTGCCACTTGAAGCCAGCTATCTCTGCTTGTAGCTATATTTCAATTAAGAACATTTATCTCAGTTCTGATCTGCATGACGTATTATTTGACTTGAGCGAATATGTATGGAAGTGAATTAATTTGTAAATGCCTTTTTCATATTATGTAAGAAACAGAGATGTGGTTAAGTCCCTTGTTCTTTTCGCCAAAGTAGGGTGTAAAACGTCTGCACAGTGTGTTAGTTTACACACTACTTTGACCTAAGACGAATGTACTTGTATACGGCAACGAGGAAATTGCCTCTGCTGAACACACTTAACAGTCCCCCAGTGCAGGAAGTTGAAATCAAAATAGATATACCACAGAGCATACATTCCCAACAGCATACAGCATATTAAAAACAGAGACAAGGCGCTGTAGCTCTCCGGGGATTAACATTTTGGTGGTAAAACATCCCTAGTGAGTTAAATCAAAATCAGTGCAATAGAAAACACACGTTTGCAAATTGAGGCTTCCATTTCCTTGACACCCAAAGAGTTACTTCCTTTAATTTCAAGAAATTGTGCAGGAAAGAGGTCATAAAACTTGTCATAGATCTTTGGCTGTATTATATTGATAATAACCATTATCCCTGTAGGTTCTCCTGATTCCCGATGCTTACTTCGGACTCGATGCCATGAGGTGAAATGGGGTTGAACGTCACGTCCAAGATTATTCCACGTGTTATTAAAGGACGTGTGTGTGTGTGCATGCGTGTGTGTGTGGCTGCTTGTACTAGTCCGGACTAATGCCAATTTATAGTGCTAGCACAATGAGATACCATGCCAAAGTTTAACATGAATACCCCACTCAGACACAGTATACTGACTCCGAGCCGACCAGTCCTTGTTTTAGCCCCTTAATGCCCAGCGTCAGACAGTAACAACAAGTACCATCTTTTCACGTCTTTTGGTATGGCGCGGCCAGAGATCGAACTCAAGACCTTCCGCTCTCCAGGCGGACGCCAAATGTTGGTTATAACTATTACCAATGTTTTTTCAGGGCCAGTAGTAACAAAGGCTTAAATAACTGTCACATTTGATATTGAAATATTGATATTACTAACTGTTTTTTCACCCCACTTTGGCTGCCACATGCAGGAAATATGAATAAAACTTAGATAAATCAATCAGAGCTTTTAGCAGCATATAGCATCGTCCTGATTATAACATAACCCTCCTTTGTTGATGTCAGACAGTGATCCGGTTTGGTGTTATTGTGATAAGTATCTCATTCAGAGCTTTTGGAGTGGCTGGTAGGTTGTGATAATGGCTTCTGTGATGGTTTGGTGTCATTGTGATAAGTATCTCATTCAGAGCTTTTGGAGTGGCTGGTAGGTTGTGATAATGGCTTCTGTGATGGTTCCTTCGACATGTTGCATCTGCTATTAAACAAGTGTCCTGTTGACAAACCCCAGCACGGCATGTTTTACTCCTAGAACGAGAGAAACTCAGTTACATTGTCTGGTAATGGGCTGCTGTACGAGGGCTGTTCAAAAAGTTCTAAGCCTAACAAATAAAACAAACATTTGTGAAAGTGTTTTTAATACACTTCTCATATAGATAGTGAAGCTTTTTACTTCCAGTCAGGAAGAAGTTTTCTGAAGCCACCTTCGAAAACCGCATTCACGGCAGCTTTGAGGCCATCGTTGTCTTCATAGCGCTTTCCACGAAGGTGTTCATTCATTCAGTCAGCATTCCTCACAGCTTTTCTTTGATAGAATCTCTCAGGCGATGAAGCAAATTTGCATAGTAGGCACCGGTAATCGTCTTTTGACTTTCTAAGTAATCAACAAGTATCACACCCATTGCATCCAAGAACATAGTTGCAATAACTTTCTGCACTGATCTTGAAGACTAAAATTTCTTTTGGGCCGGAGAAGTTGAATGGTGCCATTCCATGGATTGACGTTTTGACTCGGGATCATAGTGGTAGCCCCATATTTCATCACCCATTACTAATCCCTTTTTAATTTGACAAAATCCTCCTCAATTACCTCTAAATTTTCTCTGGCATTGTCAGTTCTTTTTCCTTAAGATCAGAATTTCAAAAACTTTGGCATCCAACGAGCAGATATCTTGTTCATCTGTAAATGTTCATGAATAATAGTTTCAATGTATCCATGGCTTAGACCTGTGTCTTCAAGAAGTTCAGCAATGGTAATACGTCTATATGACAGTATAAGTTTTTCAAACTCCTTAATTGAATCTTCATTGATGGAAGCTGAGGAATGTCCAGACCTAGGGTCATTATCAAGGCTTGTTCTCCCAACCTTAAACATAGCTGCCCAACGTTCAACAGTGGAATAGCTAGGGCACTTATCCCCATACACTTGTCACTTGCAGTCATGAATTTCTTAGGGAGTACGCTTCTCTAAAGTAAAAAAACTTGATGACTGCTCGGTACTCATTCTTTTCCATTCCTGTGTCCATTTGGACCCCTATCACGTTCAACTGGCTGTCACTGATATACAAACAGCCTCAACAGACCAAATACACTTGCCATGAACTACTCAAACAATGTTCTACATTGACTAGGTCACTTTGTTCAGGCCCATAGTTGAAAGTTAGTCAGGCTTAGAACTTTTGGACCAGCCCTTGTATACACTGGTTACCAGTAATGTACCAGATTATATGTATATGTGTTACTTGTCCTGTGGGTACCCAGGTCCTACGCAACCCAGCTGATCTGAGTACCTGACTTATCCATCCCAGCCCTAATATTTACATATATTCTCGGCATTATTCCAGAATAGGACCTCTTGTCATTTCGGGATTGGTTGCCCACAATTGGTCAAAGCAACTGAAATGATGGTTTGAAGCAATCAGGAAGCCCAGGGCACTGAATTTAGGGGTGGAGGCCCAAATCAAATTTGGGTTGATGCCAATGATGCGGTTGTTGCCGTTGACGCCAATATCTGTCTTGGTTTAGGCATTGGAGCTGGTTGTGTAGGATGTCCTTTCCTAGGCCGAGGTGGCTCTTGGTTCCTCTTGGTTCTCAGGCTGTGGAAAAGATCCAATTGGAAGTAACAAGTTCCTGTGTAATGTGCACTTTCGTCCTGCTCCTCAACAACTGTATACACTCGTATGGATGGATGCAGCAGGGCCAATTTATGTCCACCATCAAAAGCCTCTACCTTCACAAGTACTCGGTCACCTAATGCTAGAACAGCCGCTCTAGTCTTCTGGTTGTAGTACTTCTGCTTACTGCGTGATTTAATAGCTTACCAAAAGCAGTGTCATACGCCTAACAAGAGTCATTTCTGAAGTTCCTTTGTCTACTTATTGATGGACTTGACTTACTTGGCTCCATGTCTGACCAACATGCTACATCCACCAGCAAACGAGGGAGCCGTCCATCAGGAAGAAGGGGGACAACTCTGTTGAATCATGCCCGGTACAATTATAAGCATGGACCAATGATCCAACATGATCTGTCACCACGAGAATGTGTTGCTGACCTTTCAATGATTTCAGGGTCAGGAAGTCAATGCATACAAGCTCCAAAGGTTATGATGTTACAATGCCAACCAATGGTGATCTTCAAGCAGTTGGGAGTCTTTCTCCATAAACAAGTTACACGGTTCTGTATGTGTGCTTCAATATCACAAATCATCCCAGGCCAATAAAATCTCTCATATATTACCGATATAGTCCGATCCCTTCCTAGATGTCCAAAATTATCAGAGTGATCGTAATGCATGACGTGGCGCAGAATTTGGAAGAACCACCTGATCCCGCTTTTCTCCATCCTTCATGGTCATTTGATAAAGCTTGACAAGTGCTGTGAGATTGGCAACATCTGTAAACGGTATTCTGTCGCGCCTTGTCTTCTCCCTTTTGTGTCCAATGACAGTAGCCAGGGCTTGGTCCTTACCCTGAGCTCTCCTCCATTCTCTAACATTGCCTTCACACTTATCATCAATGATCATCAGATTGCCATGATCATCCATCATTATCGGCTGAGACACAAAGACTCAATGTAGATAGATAGGTGTAGGGGACGCATTGCAGATGGCCTTAACAGAGTCCACTCGTAAACTGGTCCAGTTTTGAGGGATCTGATGGAGTTGAAAGTCGGGAAAGAGTATCCGCATCAACATCTTTCCCAGGCCGGTACTTGATGGACAAGTCCCACTTAGAGAGCAATGCAAGGCACCTATGTCCAGTAGCATCTAATCTAGCTCAATTGAAATATACATTATTTCATAAGTCATAAAATAGCAATAGAAGGTTTTTTTCAATATGGTTGCCATGATGACCATACTGAAAATTGAATTTGTACTTTGTAATTTGAATTAATCTAGGTATCATCCATGTGAAATGTTTTGCTTCATTGGTCCAGTACTTTCCATGTTGAAAATGTTTACAACAGACAATGCAAGACAGACAAACAAGCCAAGCTAACTTGTATTTAAACCAGGTGAGCTGAAAACACGGAATCCATGAATGTCCCAATCTCATTAAAATCATATCTTAGATCTCGCTATCGCTAAACATCCTATTACGGGTCATGTCAGAATGACCTTTCATCCAACCAATCAAAGCATCACTTACCAGATATTGAAAGTAAGAGTTGAACGGAAGAGGCGTTGCACAGTACTTGGTAAACACTGCCATACAATATCAACCATATATTAGACATTCCGGAATGTTCGTTCGTCCAGTTTTCAAAATTTTAATCGAGTAGTGTGGCAACATATTTTTCAAGTGAAGTCTGAAATTATAAAGCTAAAAAAAGCTGCTTTCTAATTGGCCGATGTCGACTTCTTGTTAGTCATTTCAGTGGTATAACCGAAAATTCTTTTACGGTTTTCAGTTATGCTCAGGAAACAAAATACGGACGGATAGATGGACCCGATGATGACTATTTCCCCCCTGCATTACATCCGGGGGGGGGGGGGGGGGGGGGGGGGGGAGGAGAAGAGAGAGAGAGAGAGAGAGAGAGAGAGAGAGAGAGAGAGAGAGAGAGAGAGAGGAGGGAAGAAATCAAAACACCCCAAAAATGTATCATTATATTACACACTACATACTTATTGCATCAAAAATTTCATAATATTTGTATAAATGGCTGAGAAAAAGGCAAAAATATTATTATCAATATGACTACAACCACATGTTTAATTGATCCATTGTGGTCCAAAAGGATACATAAATCTTGTCTTTCTGATATCTTGTTTTCAAATTGATATTGATACCATTTTCATCAATATCACTGATGACTGTCATATTCGGAACTCCATCTTCTGGTCTTGCACCTGGTAAAAGAAAAAATATTGGATGTGACAAGTAGACAATGAGGTAAATTCATAGACTGCTGTAGAGTGTCCCCATCAGTCGAGTCATGGAGTAAATCAATAATTTTGCTCACTGGCATGGGTCGTAGCAATGACATTCAATCTCTCCTTTGCCAAATATGCTGAATTGTTGAGTTCAAGATTAATGAGTCCAAATGATCAGAAACAACACCTAGGTCATTTTTCCAAGGCAATGGAGTTGCAATGGAGTTGCAATGTTAATGACTGTAAACATAGAGGTTCCACTCATGCTGAACTAAGCTGGAATTACGATGGTTACATTTTGGCTGGACTAACGAGTCTATGCCTTGTCCAATCAAAATTGCCGAAAGAACTGGACATGCGGTTCGTAAACATGGATTTCAACGTGCAGATTCTGATCGACTGCAGGATTTGCAAAGCATGTGTACCGTCAACTGGGCATCTACAGATATTTTCCAAATATGTTTATGTTTTAAATCAAGGTGCTCAAATGATTTGATGCACTTGCATTTTATTACAGTATAGATCTTGATTATCCTTTTTGCTTAAAGCAAATGCAAGAGATATGAGAGGTGGAATCTGATTAGTCAATGAGAGGGACATAACAGCCACTGGTACCACTACGTTCAAGCCACGAAATCCCAGCGAAGTTCGTCAAGCATGGAAACTGGACTTTTGTTGTCAGTTAACACCCTTGCCTCAGGAAGATGACCTCAGGTCTGTGGAAGGAGTCTGTCAGTGTTAGGTCATTTCAAGAATAGTCTCGCGTGAAGCAGTTGAATATCAAAATGTGTCGTTCATACTCTTGTGGGGCGGCCATACTGTAAATCTGATTCAAAAGTCATTGGTGGGAACCAGCACATGAAGTTTCAGCTTATATCTTTTCTGAGGAACTGACTGACAATGTCATGAGCTCAGTGGCCTGTCAGTCAGGAGCACTAAAATGATTTCAATACAATTACTTTACACAAAGGTATAAAATACAGGCCTGTAGACTGTCAGTATTTCTGCAATAAAAATATTGAATAAGCCCTTTCACTGCACATCCTGTTTGTGATATTACTTTTGTAACAGTTAATAGCAAGCTGCGTCAGTGCGTCAATGCCCCAATGTTATGCTCTCAGCACAACACAATTACAGCGTATGATTTTGTGGGGGATTTCTCCACTGCAGGCTGCAGTTAATAGCTGACTGCAACACATTCTTTGCTGGAAAATTAAAACAATAATAATAGGCCATTTACATCATGTACATTGCAAGTATTTCCACTCCAGTCAGCATGTGGTCAGAGGCATTCTCAAAGCACTCTTATTACCCCAGTCACTGGATCAGTGTCAATCAAGAATCACTCTCAACTCCTTGGGAAGTATAGAACCCAAGCTGCCTGATAGGCACTAGAATTACCGTAATACATGATCATAATCACCTCAAAACGATGTTACAATTAATCTTGATCATTTCACTAACGAAAAGGTTTTGGACCAGTCCTAAACGCATCTTCCCACTTTTGACATATTTTTGACATAACATACATTACAGTCAACAGGTTAGCCAATCCGTGCAGATTGAAAATTGAACATCTTGACTTCGCATGCCTAAAACCGAAGATGTCTGTGTCCCACTACTAGGTTTAGATCTAGGCTGCACATCCAAATTGTGTGTCTGCATATCTGTATCAGACAGATCATTATTTTGTCATATGTTAACATTTGACAACTTCGATATCACTTGCGCTGTGTCCAATTTTGCGATGGAAAAAGGACTGTTTTCTTTATGACATCTTCAGAGAGTTCTAAAATAATTATTTTATAATCTTTTGTTTAATGTCTGTATTTATGGTCCAAACTATCCATTTGTCCTTCAAGCTTTTAATACCACTTTCATAGAAATCCGCAGATTGGCCATCTAACCACGCCTCAGTGGTAGCCTTTATGTCCTCGTCATCCTGGAAGCGCCTTCCACGTAGGGCAGATGGCATTTGCCGGAACAGGAAATAGTCACTGGGGGCTAAGTCTGGGCTGTACAGTTAAATAACCCACCCTACAGCCCAGACTAGTATTAAAAGCTTAAAGGACAAATGGAATAAGTGTATTGAGGTGAATGGAGATTATATTGAAAAATAAAAGTGCAAAAGATAATCTGCGACTTGGTCTTATATTGAAGTTGCAAAACTTATTGAACGCCCCTCGTATATGCCACATTTATGTGAAATATTCATTCCATCGACATTGAGATGTCTCTGGTAAATACAGGATGTTTTCTCATCCTCAAGTCTGTTACACTGTTTATAGATATATATAAGACAGCTACACAATAAATCGCAAAGAACAATGAAGAACGAAGCATGTTTTACTTCACGATAAAACATGTTCTATGATGACATCACTTCTGGAGATTCGAACATGCGCTCACAACTTGATGACATCGTATATTGGACAACGTTATTTTTGAGAGGGGAGTGTCCAGTGAGTTGTTCCCCAAAGATGTAGCTGGGTAATGCAGATAATCGTGATGGCTGAACAATCGCATCAAAAAGTGGGAGAGATAGGCCAATCGGGAGAAAAGGTACAGGAAACTGACGTGAGGATTGGAGAAGATGCAGGAAATACCCACCTGTGCATATAATGGATTTGTCCGACATTGCCGAGGTTGGATTCTATTGAGGGAGTCATTATTTAAATATAGGGTAAAAATGTTTAAAGCTTGTACTTTTATCAATATCCTTCAAGAATCTGTACATAATGTTGATCTCATTAGAAATAAACGACTCGTGGTCTTTGTTTATCGTACAATAAAACAACTCCCACTCGTCGTTTATTTCTTAAATATCTCATTCTAATTTATTTCACTATGTAAGGGAGTGGGCAATATAGATAGTTATTGCCAGTACATAGCTTCGTTCTTTTTTTAAAAAAAAGCTGTTTGATGTAAAAAAAACAAAGTTATTTTTGCAGTTTTTGTGCTTATTTACTTCAGTGTCTAAGAAAGAGTTGGACATTAGTAGACCTACTACTGTATATCATAACCACAGTGACTGGCTTATAAACCATGAGACCCATGAAGATTGGTCTTCAGCAACACATGATTGCCGTAAAAGGCGACTATGCTTGCTGTAAGAGGTGACTAACAATATTGTGTGGTCAGGCTTGCTGACTTGGTTGATGCATGTCATCAATCCCAATTGTGTGGATTGATGCTCATGATGTCAATCACTTGATTATCTGGTCCAGACTCGATTATTTACATACCGCCGTCATATAGGTGGAATATTGCTGAGTGTGGTGTTAAACAACAAACAATCATATAAAGCATGAATTCCAAATTCCTCACAAATAACACAATACAGTTTCTTCACTTTATCTCAAAGGGAGGCAAAGGTTGTTATTTTATGCTACCTGGTACATAGCATTGAGTTTCAACTCTATTACAATAAACTCAACTCTGTTTACATCGGGCTTCTTCAATAGATAAGTTCTTTTGACCATTACCAAAAACCTTGAACTTTTCATGAGTTTTAACGTTAAGTTAGGATTTATGATTAAATTTTTTAACAAAAGAAGAAAATTAACATATTTATGAAACCATCTTTCAAGTATTTCACTTTGTAGTATATACAAATATTTGTAGGAAGCACTTACAAGTTTCCAGTCACACATTGTATGTAACCAGTTTCTACTGTATTCACATTGAATTGTATTCACACCAAAGGTGAATTGTTGAATATGATTTTATGTATCACAGTAACCAAGCGCTATTAAAATTATTTTTTCATTTTGTGAGGCGTAACAGAGTTGAACATCCTCGCGGATTAAGCTAGTTATTTATAAAAACAAAATTTAAATAATTAAACACATCAATGTACTGCGTTGATCAAGAAAGTACTTCTCAAGTATCGTATTCTCCAATTCCAAGAGAAAAATTATTAAGGACACTTATTTTGGCTAGTTGATCATCAGAAAATTTATCGTTTTTCAGATTTTTACCCGCTTCCAATGGTAACAGCGAAATGTTGCATTGGCATTTACATCCGTAAACAAAGTCATAAAAATAGATTAAAAACCTATTTATATCTTATATTAGGGCTGGGACGAGTCCAAATTTACTACCCAGGTACCCACACCCCTATTACCCGACCCTACTCGGGTACCCGCTGTTTGTGTCAAGAGATAGGTACAATATGTCCGATTGGGAATAGTTTGCCAGTAGCCCTGGCAGACTGTTTTTAGATACATGTATAAAACGATGTGGTCGTGCATACACTGAAGTTGACTACAGTTTTAGCTTTGTTCAAACATATTTAAGTTTGAAGGAACGTGTTCATAGTCATGAAGAAATGCGAACATTAGAGACTTAAAATTGTGGTGTAACCATTTAGTTATGTAGTGATTTTTTGTCATGAAACAATATCTTACGTGACTAACCACGGGTCCGGGTGGTCCTACTCAGTACCCACCCGACTCGGGTACCCGAGTTACCAATCCCAGCCCTACTTTATATAACCTTAATATCGATGACTGAGCTGCCAAGAAATAAGCCAAATAAATAGATATTAGAAATGAATGTAATTCAAACAAATTTATTCTGTGACCTTGATATTTAATCAAATACGGATCTATGTTGTTTCAGAATATTCCAATACAAAATGTACGACACATTACACAACTCTCACCTGTCACCTGAAACTACCTTTGCAACATGGCAGCAGTTACAGCTAAGTGGAATCCTTACCAGATCTAAATATGAATTACTTCACACTTCCTTAGCCATTAAAACACAAATATTTAGGTCTTTATTTATGGATGCTTCTAAATTATGTTCTGAACGCTGTTTTTGTTATATCTGAAATGCCCACAGAGTGTCACAACTCACCAATCAGGTGAAATATGTTGATTCCTTTAGGACCTTTTTGCATATTTGCTCAAAGTTAATTCGATATTTATCAACAATTGATCGGTATTTAGTTCACGATTATCGATCTC